CGAGCCCACGCTCAGCCTTGGGGATCAACGGGAACAGGGGACTAACCTTTAAACAGCAGAGGGTACAGCAAGATTTGGCATTTCACTATTTTGTAGGTTTTTTTGCTTGTTTGTTTTCCAAAAGCTATCTTTATTTTAGTCTTATTTGTAAGCTTATTGGACAGATTTATCACCTGAAAACTTTGCCAGGTGAAAATGCCCTCGTCCTCATGTGTCAAGTCCTTGCAAAGCCACAAAAGAAATGGAAACAGAGCCTGGATCCATCACACACTCTGTCCAGCAGCTTAGTTCCAAGGTTGGCCTTCTTTGCTACATAATAAATAATACAAATTGCATAACGATACATACCAAGAAATCCACTGACTTTGTCAGAAAAATGGTTGGTGTCCAAGAAATACAGTCCGAGAAAATGTTCTGGCTGCTTTATGAAGGACACTTTCACTGTGACCGTCTCAGGCAGTGACAGTGTCAGGCTTCGTTCCTTTTCAACCGAGATTCTCAGCCTAGGAAGTAAGTGACACAGTTCATTTCCAAGAATTATATCAAGACAGATTTCATGTAATGAATTAAATAATTTAATTTTTGCCTTTTGCCTCTTTGCATTTTTATTTTTCATGACCTTTCGGTGGTTATTTTTCAGGTGGAAACTCTTAAGTACCCGTCTTTTCTCCAGTTGCCACACAACAGGTCTGTATCACTGCAGACTACGTACAAATACACTAGCACAGAGGAATTTTTTTGCTGATGACCTTCTTATCCATGATGACAAAAGAAAAAAATTTGGATGAAAAAAGAGAATATTTTCTCCCATCATTTTACCAAGAAAAATGAAATACTTCAGAATTAGGCTTTTGTATAATCTGCAACTTTTTATTTTGAGTCCAGGTAGGCTTCCAGAACACACATATCTGCTACTATTTTTTCCCTTGCAGATCTGCAGGGCTGCAGTTGCAAGGGCTCAAATGCTGGTTGGAAGCTGGAGAAACATGCTGCGTGGGGAAAGGCAAATTGCACGTGGACATAGATCAGTTTGGATTATAAAGGTAAGGAAGGAAGAGGCGCTCTGTGAGGAGGCACAGGAACAGCAGGTCACCTGGGAGGTTTTATTTTGGGTGTACAAAAGAGCTAGTGGAACTAAGTGCCCAAGCCCTAAATTCAGCTCTTTTGTGCAGCAGTGAAGGACACCACCCAAATTAGTCAGACAAATCAAGTCTATATTTGAACTACCCTCTCTTGTGCAAGGGGAAACCAGGCAGCTGGATGGGGACGTGCTCCTTGCAGCACAGCCCTTACCTTCAACCACAAACGTCCTGCGTCCTAAGCTGAGGCAGAAAGGAGTGAGTTATGAGACCAGAGAATTAAGCTGCAACAGGCTGCCCAGAGAGGTTGTGGAGTCTCCTTCTCTGGAGATCTTCCAAACCCGCTTGGACGCAGTCCTGTGCCACGTGCTCTAGGTGACCCTGCGTGTGCAGGGGGTTGGACTAGATGATCTCTAGAGGTCCCTTCCAACCTTAAGCATTCTGTGATTCTAAGCTAAATCTTTCCAGCACTTGAAAAGGGCAGATGTGAAAGTGTCTTGTTTTTGTGTTTTTTTTGTGAGAGTCACTCACCTGGCAGGGACATTTGGGAACGCTTCCCTGAAGCACACGGCAAGTGTGAAAGCAAAGGCCTGCATGTTAAATGATCAGATCTGTATTTGCTGTTTAGGGAGTGGCCGCAGTGGCAGCGCTTACCCCTGGACCACGACTCGGCCCACGGCAGCCGCTCGGCCTCGTGGTCCTGGTGGATGATCACGGCGTCCCTGGAGACGTGCACTTGCACTGGGGGATTCACGTAGGTAATTTCCAACTGCACAAAGTGATTTGTTTTGTCCCCAAGATTCCCAGTGACGGAGATTCCTTTAATGACATTGACACAAATCTGTCACGCGATCGTGTTTACAAAGTAGGATTAGTCTTAATAAAACTGCCTCAGGTTGTTGGACCTAAGGGTTTAAAATACAGTTATGGGGGTGCACAGCCTCTCCTGTCTTTTGTATGTCCAAATCCCTAAGAGCACGTGGCAGAGTCACCCTTGTCTAGCTCGGCACAGGGGGATCCTCATCCTCTCCCGGAGGTTTTTCAGTCCCTAGTCGGTGCAGATGATGCCTGCAGCGTGACTGAAAGGATCGTCACAGCCTCTCTGGTCACTGCAAAAGGGCAGCAGAAGGCTGTTACTGAGATGGGGACAACTCCCAAGGCTGGTGGCTCCCAGACTGAAGGGTCTCTCCTTTCCTGTGACGCAAGGGGAGGCTGCAGTGGGCCAGGAGGAGGCAGGGCCATGGAAATATCCCTTTCTGGTGTCTCACAGCGGAACGAAGGTCCTCAGCGCGACTGGGACCGGTTCCCCTCCCTCGAGGGACGTGACTTGCTCACCTTGCACCGGATCAGACAGCAGGTCTGCAGAAGTCTGGCCTTGCCCACCAGTATTTAAGCAGATGATTTCATTTTGTCCAGGTAATTGCAAGAGAAACTGGGGATATTCACTAGCTGAAAAGCCCAAGAATGAGAAGAAAATGAAAATATTAGTCATAGCTTTTCCAGAATGCTAATAATAAAAACAACAGATTTTAAAACTTTGAGGCTATTTTGGCTGAAGATTTATATATGTGCTACATTTCTGTTGCTAGTTACACCCTGGAGCTGGAAAGGCTGTTTCATGGGCCATGGGGGTACTTTATGCTTTCATGGAAAGAAAAAGCCAAGGTTTTCAAGAAGAAGTAATGAGTGATTTTGAATTAGAGCAATAGATAAAACCAGAAAAAAAAAAGAAATACTGTATGTTATGGTTATATTAATAATTATATTATATTAAAATGAGACTCCTATGTATGTAACTTACCAAGAGGCTGGGATCTTCCTTGTTCCATTAACCTGAGAGCTGAAATATTTAAAAGTAACAGGAGTTTAGTGAAGCACTTGTGTTTTCTCTCTAACTTGGCTAACTAACCCTTAAGGCAGAGCTTGCCACTGAACTCTGCAGAGTTTGATTTAAGCAGCAAGAAGCCCCTGAATGGAAAATGTTTAAAAAAGGCAGAGTGCTGGGGGCTGACACGTGGGAGCTGGCACCCGGCGGGGCCATTTGGCCACGTTGTCCCTTCGCTGCCCGGTGCTCCAGAGACAGGTTTGTGCATTTGTGACAGGCAGCAGGACCTGGCAGTGCCCGCCAGCTCCTCCGTGGGCGCAGGGCTAAGGAATTACCTGGCGAGTGCAGTTTCTTGTTGCTGCCAGACTGGAGCAGGGAGCGCCAGCGACCTGCAAGGGAAGTTGTGCGACGTTGGCAGCCCAGTTTTGCCAAGCTGCAGCCACGCACACAAGCCCTCACCTTCCCAAAGGAGCTTTTTTCCCTCCGTTCTTCATGGCACGGATGTGGCTGAGATGCTCAAGGACTTGGACTGCATCTCGCAACCTTGCTAGTGATTTTGCCAGCCCTGGGCAGAGCTATGTCCAGTGCAGTGGGACTCAGCTCGTTACTCGCGTTACAGCTGTGGGCCTCGCTATGATTAAAGCCCTGAAAATTGCTCTGTTACTTGGCCACATTTTCCCCAGCTTATTAACGTATATTTTTCCAGATCTTTTGCATTCGTTTTCAAAGGGCTTACATTTTTTATTTCTGAAAAAATATCAACATTATTTTCAAGACTGTAAATTAATCCTAGTGTAAATATCTGTGGAATGAAAAACACGTAAAACAAACTCACCTGTATATATTAAGCAGGCATCAACAATGAAAATACATTTGATAGAGTGATGTTGATTTAACACACATATTCAATACATTTTGCATGATTTTTCTGAATTAAAAGAGCAGGAGCACTTACCAGGAACTGATCCACTCCTCATCCTATAGGCATCTGGGGAAAGTGAGAAGAGCATCAGGATTTTGTTCTTTACTGTGTTATCTACGTGCCCGGGGCCGGCAGCAGGGAGGTCGTGGGGACAAGGGACAGCGACGGGTGGGCACCAACCCCAGAGCACGTGGGTGCGACGAGGCCAAATCCCTCTTCCCTCTGCCAGCACCACAGTAAACCACACTGTGGGCTACCAGCATGGCTGAGATTATGGGATTCATACTGCTGACAGTTTTAGAATAATAGTCACAGAAATACTTCCATTATTCCCAGAAAAAGAGGAAAAAATAATACCTAAGTCATCCTCATAAATCTTTCCAAGAGGTCTCAAGCTTAATTTTCTGACAGATGCTTCACGCATGGCAAGAAGAAGTAGAAAACAGAATTAGGAGCATTCACTTGAAAAAGTACTTTTGCTCATGAGTAAAGACAATTTTGGCCTCTCACACTTTCAGAATGACAGATTTTCACCAGTGGACCGTGTTATTCACCCAGCCTCTGCAAAGAGCTTGCTAGATATTGCTCCCATTTTCCTTGATGTCTGTTTTTCCAAAACCCAGATACTCCCCGCTATCGGACGACCACCATGATTTTTTGCTTTATTTTGTTTTTTTGTCTGTTTGTTTTCAACAGCTGCTAATTAAGGATCTGTGTGATTGGAGTAGAAGACAACACTTACCTCCTAGGGAGCTTCTGCCCTTCTCATTATCTAATCCAGGGAAGAGGGATAAGTCAGTGCCAGAGAGTCAACAATTAAGCATCTTGCTCACGTGCAGATCAGGGAGGAGCGGGTGCCCGAGGGGGTAGGTTTTGTGTGCTGAAGGATGGCTAGATGTAGCACATGGAAGACTCCGGGAGATAACAGTTTTGCTTTCCTGCATTCATGTGCTTGGCCTTAATGCCACAGGGCAAGACGCAGAGTTTGCAGGGGCAGGGAATGCTCAGGAACAGCAGTTCAATTGATATTTAAACAAATTCCCATTTTCAGTAGTATCCAGCAGCCTATTTCCCCCCTTCACCTTCTACAAAGCCCCAGGCCTCTTATCTCCAAAGGAGGCTGCTCGCCACCCCCCAGTCCCAGCTGGGTACCCCATGGTGTCCCCACGTGCCGCAGGTGGCCCAGGTGCCCCTTACCGGCCTCGCTGGGCTTGTTGGCCAGCTCTGCCTGCGGCTGCTCCGCGGGTTTGGTGACCAGCAAGGAGGTGAGGGGAGTGACGAAGCCGAACTGCAGGGACAGCTCCAGGGCACGGGCCTCCAGGGCCTTCTGCTGGCCAGCAGGGGCTGAAACACTGAGGTCTGCGTTAGTGACAAGGCACTGAAATGCTGGGCCCATGAGCAGGAGGGGACTGTGTAAGCTCTGTGTAACAGGTGGCTTTTTCCAATGTCTTAGCTATGTCTTAACAGGGATTTTCTCTCCTGGATGTGGAGCTCTGTTGGGATAACTCAGCTATTCATGTGCTTGAAATCACAGAAATGCTCAACTGTTTGCAACACCAAGCCTATATATGGGTCAAACACACATAAATTACAGATATATGAACTGGGAAATGTCCTCTGGACATACTGTTATGACTCCCTTTACTAGCTGTTACCATTCACATCTCTACAGGCAATATTGCTAAATGTGTAACAACAGCTCAACACAACCAATACATTTGAGATCTGTTTCAAAGAAATGCTGTGAAGAAAATACTTTATGTATTTCCTTCTTTCTTTTTTTAATGGTGCAACCCTCTCTCAGACTGAAAGGCATCTCATGTCACCCACAGTAGTGCTGTACTCTTCCAGTAGGTAATATTTGTAAATCTATGGACAAAGATATTTGTTGCTGTGCATTTTCCCATCATATAATTTGTGAATAAGGAGGTTAGAGTGCTTGAAGAAACCAGAACTGCATCGTGCAAAATCTGAAATTAGCTTACGATTTTTCTAGAAGCTGCTGGATGGTTAAATAAGCCCACAGTCTCTCAATGAAATTTCCAAAGATGTAGCTCTGATTTTGAAATACTTGCTCCTTCTCTTTAATGTTTGCTTCTTCTTTAAGAGTCAAGTCACTCGTATGCTGAAAGGGACACAAATGACCATCAAAAGAACAGCCACAGACTCCTTTTATAGTCACAATATTAGGCTTGAAAGAACATCTTTCAGCACCATTGTATCCTTCTGACCCACAGAACTGGCCTAGCCTGTAGGAACCACATTTGTGGCATCCACTCACTTTGAATGGTGCTACAAAAATGCATGCTCACCAAGAGCATCATTTGATTTAATCAACGAAATGTACAAATTTTATAATAAATTGGCATATAATGCATCAACGCACACCTTACAGAGCAGAAGGCTATCATTCACAAGATGGGGATCTTTCATTACTTATTCTTTCAATAAAACTGGTGGATTTATGCCACATGTCATCAGAACACAATGATTAAAGTCTCAGTTATTTTTAGTCTTAACTAGAGTTCAGACTTCTTAGTTCAGCTAAGAAAAGCAGCAGCTACTTGGTGACACGTTTTTACATTTAATGATCACTATGTATTTCATCGGATTCATTCAGTCGTTTTCTGTTCTCAAATGTTGTATCATTTGAATTTTTGTTTTGCTTGGCCAGACTGAAGATCTATAAAGTATCAAGTGATATAACATTTTTCACCAGAATACAGTCTAAGTCTTTGGCGAGCTGTTTTCCCTTTGGAATATGCAAAACAAAACCATCCAATGCATGTTTTCTGGGTATACGTTTCTGCACTCGAAAAAACGTTGAAGAAAGGAGGCATGAAATTCCTCCACGGTTCTATTTCAACATTTTCAAAGTGAAAAATATCATGTTTCCTGCTTCATTCTAAAAATATAAACTAGTTTCCTTAAAAAAATGCTTGAATGACCAAAATATCACAAAAATTGATAAAATTTGATATTTGCTTATTTGTGAAAATACTCAAAGATTTTTCTATTCCGGCAGATTTAAAACATAAAAGTTTATCAAATTCTTATATATTTCCCAACAGTGGGAATATTGCTGAATGTCCAAATGTAGAGAACATAAAAGGTTGTTTTAAAGTTTCCTATTGCCCCATAAAACATTTTCTTTCGCAATTTAGCAAGGTAAACACTTACTGATTGAGCTTTAATTTCTACTGGCAGAAGATCAAGCTCGTTGCTGATTTTTCCAGACACCACGATTTCAGAGCCCTCAAAAAACAGCTTGAAATTGTTCTTGGTTAACCCCTCGATGGCATTTTCTGGATACTGCATTTCAATTTGCATTAATATTGGAGTAGCCACCTCTTGATAAAAACCCTAAGGAGAAGTACAGAGAAGGAGCACAAACGATTGTAAAACTAAGCAAACTGCCAAAAACATATAAAATGCCTCAATAAAGAAAGGAATTAAGCTTCTTTGGGCAGAGACAGGTAGGAGCCATTGGTATAAGACTGCTGAAAATGCTGAAAATGATCTGAGTACTTCCACAGCATCCCCCTCAGCATCACCATCACTGGTGGCTTTTTTTTAACCACTTTTCCCAGCTCTTTTCTTCAGTCTGGTTAAAATCAGACTGTTTTTCTTCTCTAGTGGGCTATTTAGAATCATAGAATGCTTAAGGTTGGAAGGGACCTTTTAGAGATCACCTAGTCCAACCCCCTGCACACGCAGGGTCACCTAGAGCACGTGGCACAGGACTGCGTCCAAGCGGGTTTGGAAGATCTCCAGAGAAGGAGACTCCACAACCTCTCTGGGCAGCCTGTTCCAGTGCGCTGTCACCCCCACCGTCAAGAAATTTTTCCTTAAGTTCCTGTGGAACTTCTGGTGCTTCAGTTTCCGGCCGTTTCCTCCAGTTGTGTCTGTGGCCACCACTGGACCGGTGTTAGGGGGAGCTTTTCAACCTATGCTGGAATGAGGCCAAGCAGAGGTAGCCACACGGGGTTAGTCCTCACCTGGAGCTGCAAGGCTGCGTCCGCGTTTTCATATATACGTCGTGCGAGTCCCCCATTGCTCAAGGCCATTTTCTCAAGGAACTTATAGCTCACATCAAAACCAAAGCCAAGGCAGAAGAGGGCAAACTTCCCACCGATGGCTTTCTGGATGTTTTCTTGGATTACTTCCACCTTGGTCTCACCTGTGATTGAAAAAAAAAAAAAAACTCATGGAATGTGTGCTTTTTAAGTATGAAAGAACAGCAGAGGATTTACAGGAAAATGCTGCTTAAAATCTCTTAAAAATAATTGAAAACAAAACATAGAAAGAGGTTGAATTCACTGAATTCAAATGAGAGAGAAATGAGAGCGCTGCTCTGTATTTTGACTGCTGGAATTTCTTTCTCCCCCTTCATGACAAGTTACTTCTACTCATACGGTTACAGTTAAACACCACATGGTTTAAAAGATTGTGAAGGGGCCAAAGGAGGCTTTTTGGCTGAATGTAAGGATGCAAAATGGGATATAAGGGTACAGAGTCAAGGAGGAGGGAGAGGATTGAGGTAAGCTTTACTTACCAGAGGTGGGCTGGCCATCTGTCAGCAAGATGATCATGGATACGCTGCGCTCGGGCAGCGCCTTGGCTTGATGCAGCGTGACCACCGCTCTCAGCAGGGCCTGGTGGATGTCTGTGCCTGCAACGAGGAAGCAGCCTTCACTCACCAGAAACAGGATAAGCATCCCAAGAAATCCCTGAGCATCATTTCCGGGGGCAGGGTTGTTTTCAGTTTGCTGCTGGAGGTGAGTTTTTAGGGGCTTGGCATGTCACGCTTGACCACAGCAGGTTACATTGCAACGGCAAAGCTGGAGTTTTCCTAGGAAAGCATTTTCTGCTACGTGAAGGTAAACACAAATAATCTGATCTTTTATGGAATCTGTCTAGATCCATTGAAGATGCTTCCTCAAACACACTAACACCTATTCGTCCAGCACTTAAGCATTAAGTATTTGAGAAGCCAAAGAAAAGAGCTAGACACAAGTGGTCTTCATCGGTGCTAGCTACCAGGACAAGAAAAGCGACAGGAAAATTAACAGCTTAACATTAGACACAGAAATAGCCTTTTGGATCTGCTTAAAAGCATGCATAAAAATAAATCGGATTGAGCAATGTAACAGCTGAAATGCTTCATGCCTATTTTGACTATTTTGTTTCTGTGCTATAGCTTTCAATACCACGTATGGAGAGAACCACAGACATATAACTTCTTTGTTTACATTCTATTGACGAGCAGTCTCTGGTATAAAGACATCAGTAAGTGGCCATGAAATGTTTCTAGCTTGAGTGAATTGCCATTTTTATGGAGGAAAAAAAAAAAAGTGGTCTCCTAGAAATTTTTCAACTCTCTGTGTTGTAAATGTCTTGGACAAAACTTCCTAGCTCGTGCAGCTCACGGATGGGATGTAACCATCTCTCCTTATATGCAAATCATAATGTAGTCACTAGTTGGCCCATTCCCATCATAAGTTTTTCTATTCTATCACTGCTCATAATTATTCAAAATTGCCTGTGCGTTCACTCGCTTTGTGATCACTGACCATAATTGCATGGCATGACATGAGCAATAGCACAGTATTTTTTTCCTAAACACTATTTGTTACGCTGTTGGGTGTATATTTAGGGTTCTAAGAACCAGCTGGTGCCTGGTACCTCCGCTGGCGCTAAGAGTCTGCACGAACGCCACAGCACTCGCCACGTTCTCTGCTGTGGCCTCCAGCAGGGAGCTCCTCCACTCCGAAACTTTGCTGTTAAAGGTGATAAAGCTGAAGCGATCCTCTGCTCGCAGGTCTTGCAAGATCTTCAGGAGAGCATCCCTCGTCTGTTTGTGAAGAGAAAACAAAATACTGCATACAGGCGGAGAGAAATGTCCTCTGTCTCAAGGCAAGCCACCCACCCATATCGGACAAGCGCTGCGCTTCAATAGCCTAAACCCATGCATTCGTATTTCCATATATTTCCAAACCTCTGGAAGTTTTGCTGTGCACAAGAATAGCCTGTCTTTCAAAAGCAACTTCCCCAAGAGGCTGCAGAGCAAAGCCCCTCCAGCACAGGGAGCACACGCACAGGGGGTGCGAGCAGAGGTCAGTGTTTCAAGCAAGTCACCTGCTCGATTTTTCTGCCTGCCATAGAGCCACTGCGATCTATTACGAAGATGACATTTTTGGGAAGCGCTGGCATTTCGTGCGGGGCAAAATAATGCACAAAATATCCATTGACGATCTGAAATACAAAGTTACGTAAGTATAACACTGCACATAATAAAAAAGTATCATCTCTTAATATTCTGGCATACCAAGAGCAGTGGTCCATGGTCAGCATTTGGTTCATCTAGATCAAAGAACTATTAAAAATAGTTCTTTAGAAATAGATCCAAATCAAAGAACTATTAAAATGTATTACTTAGCTGGAGGTGATACTCTCCTTCAAAAGCCAATTACAGGAGAATGGAAACATGGTCCTCACCTCCCCGAGACAGCACCAGTTTGGGGTGGCTGCCAGATCATCTTTCCCTTGGTGAAGGGGCCCTGGGCACCCAGTTTTAAGTCCAAAGTCCATCATCAATCAATACGTTTTATCCTCAGCCTTTCCTTCAGAACTTAATACAAGTGATTCACTTTTAAATGCACATTTTACATTCCCATATATTGCAGGCAGGAGCTTATATATCCATGACCATCAAAATAAAAATGATTAGGAACAAAAGCAAAGCTAGTGCCATTTCTTCTGCTTCAAGCGAAGAATAAACAAAACCGTATGTAAAAATACATTTCATATTTTATTTTACTGTTAATATTTTTGCTAATAAACAAAGTATTTTCTAACATTAGCATGTAAAGTGTAAGCAGCTTGTATCAATCAGTATTTTAATCTTAAATCTTAATCCCACTTCTTCAAAGACCAGTGTATCAAGAAGATGTGCAGAGATACCCTGGAGCTGAGGGAAAGGAATTCAGTAAAGGAAGATGCATGGAACTGAAATGTGGTCTGGGGCAAAGTGTGATGCGTTGTTTGATTCACTGCACAGTTTCTGCAATTGTGATGGATGCTGCAGGCAGAGTGCACAAAGGACATTTCCTATTAGTCCTGCACAGCCACGTTTTGAATCAACTTCAGAGCTGCATGAGCAGTTTAAAATGCTAGATGGAGCCCCGGCACAATTTTTTTTTTGTGCAAATCTGTGGCACAGTCTGGTAGCATGAATGGCAGGAAAAACAGGGGTCTCTGGATCTATACAGAGCACCAAAGCCACATGGCTAGAGGAGCTGCTTTTTAATCAAAATACTTAATTATTATCTTTAACCAAAATTTTAATTAAAAATTTTAAGGTTTGTTTTTTTATATTACATGTAATATACATCTCAATACCATGTACATGTGTGCACAGCCCTGTTCATGGCTTGTTACTACCATCTTTTTGCACATCCATGCGCGTCCTTCTTTAGTGACACAGTATGGAAAGCATAGGCACTTTTTTCTCTAAAATATGCATTGCACCATAAATATTTTTAAGTTCCTGCTCCCTTCACCTGTCTTGGTTAGAAAAAGCAAAAGAAAATGAAATTGTGAATTTAATGGCTGAATAAATCACATTCCTCTAAGCTTCACTTGCAAGAAGCAACAATACATCTTAGATCCATCAAAGTTTGGAGAACAAAAATAAATTAGAGAGAGTTGGCATTGAAGCAACATTTGAAAAATTGGTTTTCCAGGACTGCTCCCATCCTGCAACAGGTTTAGTGTCACGGGGATTTTACTGAACATCATGATCAGTTCCCACTGAGTTAGGATTAGTGGAAACAGCTCTTTCTGTCACCATGGGTCCTTCCACCTGTGATGCCAACTGTTCTCCACACTAAAACATACTAATGATGTGAAAGCAGCTAATTTTTAATCCTTTTGTTACCTGTATATCACCTGCAGTTGCACCTCTCTCAACGTCATAACGCACAATGAAATCACCATTGAGGAGGGTTTCACCCGCATCAGGATTTTTTTGCTGGTCTACCGTTGGCTTAAACACAATATGAGCCTGAAAGGCAAGCACAAGCCCAGCTCAAAGCAACGCAGTGATGCCCCAAACTGCCCCATGCAACCAGCAGCCTCTCTTCTACCTTGGTTTCATTTTGCACTTTTGTGAGTGCCTCTGTTAACTCATTTGTCAGGAAAGTGCTGTCGGTCTCCAGGAAGCGAATGCCTTGGGGCTCGAAGATGTGCACATCCATCTGGTGGAGAAGTCCTCGTGAGCCCAGTGGAGGCCCCCGAGATGGGCTGCAAGGCTCCTTCCCCAGCCCTCACCCAGCCACTCACCTGGAAGTGTTGGACCAGCTGCTTGGGCCTGACCTTGAGCAGCAGCTCGTACTTGCCCAGCTGCCGCTTCAGCAGCTCCTCGTACGTCAGCTCAAAAGTGACCTTGCTGCCCGCTGCGACGCCAACCGAGACCTGAAACTGCTCCAGTTTTCTCCCCACAATTCTGCAAAAGGGAATAGGGATTTACCTCCTGCAGTACACATGTGCACGGGAAGGCCAAAGTCAGCAACGTGAGCTAAATAACGGCCAAACACGAAGCAGAGGAGAGAGCATCGTATTGCTCACCAAGCAGCCGTTTCACATTGCAGGAGATACTGCATGTTACAGCTAAAGCATCTGGGTGCCATAGCTGCTGCATATGCAAGCTGAGGTTTGTAGCAGAAATCCATTTGGGAGTGAATATGTCCCAGATTAAATACACCTCTGGAGTGATGCAAAGTCATCTATCTTAGTGGGGAGTCAGGTTAATGACTGGGCACAGCAAGTCCCAGGGTAAAACAAAACACCGATGCCTCCAGCAGAAGCCCATTGCGGCGTCGGATATAAAGGACATGGATGGAGGAATGGATACAGATTGATATAAATAAGTTGCTGCATCTATTATTTAGCTTTCTGTGAAATGAGTTGTTAAAGGAGCAGCAAAGCATAGTGCTCAACCCGATAGCAGAACAAGGACGTTCCTTGCTTTGCTTTTAAGCTCAGCTTACTCTCAGTTCTACTTAACTAGAATGATTAGGTGTTACCCAGGGTTTAACAGGTTGTTTCAGCTAAAAACTGCTGCTGGCGGGAGGCAATTCCCCACACGCAGACACGCTGTCCCAGGCCACCCAAGGTCCTGCCTGGTCCCAGTGCATCGCTCAGCCACTGACCAGCTCCCGCTCCAACCCCATGCTGGACATTTGTCCGGACGGGCTTCCCTGGTCCTGCCACTCCTCCCAGGAGGAGCCCAAGCTGCTTTTTACATTGATCCTGCACAAAAGGTGGCTTCAGGGCTTGACTTGGCCCTTGGGCAGATGGGAAGGTTTAAGAGTGTGCAAACAACCTTGCTCAGAAGGGCAGCTTACTTCACAAGGCCAGCGCTTTGCCCCTGCGAGACCGCAGCGTCATACTGCTGCTGAGCAGATGCCTTCTCCGTTATTATTCCCGGGTACACTTTGCCATCGATGGACCTGTTTTCCATAAAATAGAATTAATATTAGGGAGAGTGCTGTGCAAGAAACTAGAGCAACACAGTACTTTGTGGCCCTCAGGGCACAAACAGAGAAAACTCCCATCCCTCCCCATCCTTGAGGCTCGCTTGGAGACACCTCCCCCAAAATGGCCTAGCCACTTGTATGGCTCCTCAGGAGAAGGATGAACATCCCTCCACCCCAAGGCTGCCTCGCCAACACCACAGGAAAGGGCTGGTCCTACATGGAGAAGTTGGAGATGAAGGCGGTCTTGGGGAGCTCCACTTCAAAGGTGGCCTCGCGGGATTCATTTGCCCGGTTGACAATTTTGCTGGTGATGACAGTGTGAGCAAATCGGGACGTGACTCTGCAGTCCACATGGAGGCTGTAGATGTCGATACCACGCTGGAAGAAAGGAACACAGGGAAATTACAACTAAAAGGCCAGCTGTCACCACGTGCCGGTCCTTACCCAGGTTGGAGGTGCCGTTACTGGTAAGGTCTGATAAATGAAGTAGCTTCAGTTGGGGTCAAGGAGGGCGCAGTGCTCAGCACTGCGTGCTCTGCAGCGAGTAGGCACAAGCTCTGCTCTCCGCTGGGGATCCCTGTGGTGGGACTGGCCTCCTGCTTGCCCCTGCTGCTACTATGACCGCATCCCTGCACAAAACAGCAGCTAAATCTACGTATTCTGTCGTCCCACAGGGCTTTTTTCTGAGCCTTGTTCTGCAACCTTCTCGCCTCGCGCTACTCTGGTAAGCAGGTACCGTTGTCACCAATTCCTCTCCTAAGACAAATCCCCCAAAAAAATCCCCCAAACCACCACCCAAACGCCTCTTTCAGCAACGTGGAAAGCAGCCTGAGCCGTTTTACCTCATTTGCTCTTCCAGCTGTTGACTTTGCTGCTTGTTTTCCAGGCGGGCAGCTCGTGGCCCCGCGCGCTGCTCAGCAGGCCGGGCCCCGCGCAGGCCTCCATCGCGCTGTTTGCACAGGCCGGGCTGCCCTTGGCGCTGCCGCTGCGGGGGCTGCCCCCGGCCTTTCCCCAGGCCTCCCCTCGGAAAAACCCCCCGGAGAAACGCACTCCTCCCACAGCAGCTTCTCAAGCTTCTCTCCACACCTACTCATCTGTTTGTGATTTCCATTCTGAAGGCAGCGTGTTGCTTTCAGCACAGACCCTAAGCAGCCAGTAGCAACAGTACTAAAGGTGGGTCTGGACATCAGCAACCTCATAGCAGTCCAGAAGTTTATCAAAATATAAAAGCTCAGTATCAGAACAGATCAACAACTGCTATTTTTTGCTTTTTTCAGACTCACAAATCTTCTCAAAGGCTAGTTGATTTTTTTTTTTCAATAATTTATCTCCTTAAGAAGTGCCCGGCCTCTTCTCAGTTAAGACTTAGGACTAAATTCAAAAACTTAATCGCTTTAAACATGGCCCTCCTGTGCAAGGGTGACTGCAGCTCAGGGGCCAGACATCACTGCAGGAGCCACCTCCAGGGCAATAACAGTTGTTTTTTTTTTTCATTAGATATCGACAAATTGTGCCTGGCTCCTGACACCGGATAATTTCCAAAAAAAAAAAAAAAAGAAAAGGGGGGTAAAAGGAAAAAACAAAGATATTTGTCAAGTAAAACAATTTTGGGGCAGGGAGGATTGGGAGCAGGTGATTGGGATCACGGCGATTCGGGTATCTGCTCTCCCGGGACAGCAGTTGCAGCTCCGAGGGGGCGGCCCGGAGCATCCCTGTGGCAGGGCAGGAGCGCGGCCAGCATCAATCCTGCCCGGAGATGCGGCCGGGACGCGCGACGGGATGAGGGGACAGTCCCTGACAGTGGCACTGCGGGGCAAGGGGCCTTGCGGGGCCCTCGCCGAAGCAGAGCGCAGCCACTGGAAACCAATGGGGACCCATTTGTGCTCTTTCCCCGAGCACCCTTTCCTGCACAGGCATCACGGAAACAAACCCCTCCAAACACGAGGCTTGCTTTGTTTCTCCAACACCAACCGTTTTTAAGTTAGGTCACATCCTGCGATGCTGCCAAATGGCCAGTTTGCTCTTCCTGGCAGTACAAATGCCTGTGTTGCCTCTCCTTGGAATTCCATATAAGATTCTCAGTGCCTGTCCAAAATAGCCTGGCATTTCCATGGCTCTCGTTCTGTCTTGATGCCATGCTGCCACGTCCAGGCCCAAAGGCTCCAAGGGAGACCTCGAGAGTCTCTCAGTTCGGTGTTTTATCACCCTCTTTGGTAGAGGCATTAGACAAAACCTGCACCTTGTGCTGTGTTTGCCCCTGCTCTGCCCCGCAGGCCCCAATGGGATCCTAGACCCCTGGATTGGGTGCACGATGCCGTGCGGGTACCACAGGAATTACCAGTGTTGCCTGCTGAGAACTGCCCTGCCGTCGCCGTGTGGGCGAGCAAAAAAGAGGTGTTATAAAAAGCAGAGCAAATACCTTTGGGGTGATGGTGTCTGCGAATGCTGCAAGCGAGGAGAAGACCACCAAGGCGAGCACCACTCTCTCCATTTTGGGAAGACCTGAGCTGAAAATGAAAACGTTGTTTATCTTAATCAGTTAATGAGTAACCCACACTTGGGGATATTATGCAGGCTTTGAGAGGAAACCCAGAAACTTAATATTGACATGTTAAACACAGTTGCAGATTGGACCTTGGCAAGTTTATTATTCCATCAGATCTCTGCTCTTAAATGTTCGGTGAAGTCTTGACTTAAGAAATCCTCATGTTCCTGTTTAAACTTCAATTCCACTAAAATGTGCGTGAAAAAAAAAAAAAATACGTGGAAAGATGACTAGATGTGTGTGCAGGCTGAATTTCTGCATGCTTCAATCTCCAACCTGTCAAATGGCAACAGTTTGAAAGGGCATGGCTTTACCCTACCTCAAGCACTTGAGAAATTTGGAGCTGGCAAAGACATGCAAAATCCATAGGAGGTTTTGGAGCTGGTGATTTCATCAAGCTTTGTGTCCCCCGAAGCCACTGGCCTGTCTCAGAACACCCAGTGGGAGGCTCTGCATCTGCTTTTACCTGCACAGATGCTGGGATGCTGCTTTCACCGTCTTCACAGTGACGTTACCGAAACGTCTCCATCCAGGCAGGACACCAAAAGCTGCTCCTGAGCTTGCTGCTGGTCAAGGGTTGGCTCGTAGCCCTGGAAAAAGAGATTCTACTAAAAGAGACTGGTTTTGTAAGGAAACATTTATGGCTAATGCTGTATCCTAAAACACATGCTCTCTTCTTTGGTGCTTAGGGACCTTTCCTAACTAACGAACCAAGCGTGACTACTTAAAAGATGTTTCTCCACCTGAGCATGATAGTATACTGTAATGTCCATCTTGTTTTACACTCTGGAGAAATAATAATTTTTCTAGGCATCCTTGTGGACAAAGTAGGAATTCACCAGTGGGAAACAAGAACCCCAGGGAATCCTATCCTTGCTGTATTCCCAAGAAAATCAACTGTCAACTGGAAATATCAACTGGACAGGAAAAATGACATGTCCTGGGGCTGTAGCTCAGAGCTTGGCCAACTGCTTGGGCTTCACTTCAACCAATATCTTGCATTTTCCGAAGTGCTGCTTCAACGATTCTTCCAAGCTGGCTCAAAACTGGCCTCGCTGGCTGCCGGGACCACGATGCTTTCCCATTTTTCCTTCCCAAAGCCCTAGAAACGCTATCCCTGAAACGCTGCTCCGTCTCAGGAAGCTGCAGCAGCCTGCTTGAAGCGGCAGGGAAATCCATGTGTTGCTGCCTGCCTCATGGATATTTTGCAGACGACGTTTCCGTAGTTTCTGGGAGCCTTTGGCTTCACATGTGCCACAAAGACATTAACACAGCGCTTGATAAATTATCACTTCAACAGAACTTTGAATGTTTACTATAAAACACTCCGCTGAGCGCAGCTTCGTTCTCAGCAGCTTCTTAAAAAATAAACTTCCTACTTGCAGGCAAACCCTTTGTACTGCTTGCAAGCATTGTGTCATTTACAGGAGAGAATACAAATGTATATCTTTTAGGGGATAAATTGATAATTGATAAACACTGGATTAACTTATGCATCTTTTGAAAAGCTTTAATCCTTAAAATAGAGAATTTATGGCTTGAGAGCGCCAACTGCCAACGCTTTAGTTTTAATGAAGTGGATCTAGTGCTTGTTTTTTTAATACCCACATGTAAAAGTCAGGTACTAAACAGGTGCTTCAGCTGCACAAAGTCAGGGTTCCCCAGGCTTTTCCATCATGATGTCAGCCCTGGCAGCCCATGGAAGGGGAACGGGCTCTGGTGGGGGGGTTGCACCCCCTGGTCTCAGCAGCCCTTTACAGGCATCTTTTTTGGCCATTTTCCTAATGGGAAGCATCTCCTGTAACACTAGGGACAAGGCAGCCCTGAATGGGGCTCCAATGCATTTTTGCAAATGAGGTCTACCTTCAAAAAGAAAAAAAAGGGTTTAAAAGATTCCTGGTAGTTAGTGCTTACTGGAAAGCATCATAAATCATTGAGCCTAAAGACACCCTTTAAATAAAGCTGTTAGCAAAATTCCACACTGCTAATTGATACCTCGCCTTGCTTCCCTGGGGTGTCTGAGACGCGCGGGTGAGCTAACAGGTTAAGAGAATCATTTTTTCACTGTAACAAATAAGCTTGGAACCAAAAATGGACAAAATGGTGAAATCCTTTGGGGGTTTTAGCTGCCAGCTGGGACTTGCAGGGTGCAGGGGTGTGAAATCCCCCATGGAGCTGGGTCTTCTCCTGAGAAAGGTGAACAGAGGCAGAGGAGCTCCGAGAGGGAGGAGAGCGCAGTGTTTTCCTTCAACCCAATCAGGATTTTGGCTCCTGGGCTCCGAGTGGCTCCGTGTTTGCTTTGGGAAGCTGCCGAGCAGCTGCCGAGGCTTTGCTAAAGCCCCAGCTCAGTCATCTCTCACCAGCAAAGGTTATATATCAGTGACACTCAGACTAATTTTGTCAGTAATATTTATAAATATGGACAAACGGGTGCCCTTAGAAGAACGGCAACGCAGCAGGGCTATCTTTAAGGATATTTTTCCTCAGGAAAGCACTCGTTAAAGCTCAAGGACTTTGCTATTGCACGTGCAGCTACACAGCCTGTGCTGTCTGCTTTTGTTTTTCCAAGCCTTCCTGCAGTCTCCATAGAAAGCATTAAGTTTTATGCATTACGTGGTTCGGATACAGAGGCAGAGAAGAAATTCTTGGGCATTCCTCACTTGCTCAGAGAACTTTTAATATAACTTCCCCCCCTCTTAGCTAGCTCTGGGCTATGCAAAGCTAAAACTGGTGTTTAAATAAAAGTGGCACCTACCTTAATGCTGCCAAATGTTTCACCACGAATTCATAGTTTGCAGGAACTGCAGTAGATGTCCATAAAGCAAGGGATTATTCACATTTTAATCAAAAGATCCACCTCAGGGGAAAAACTCCAATTTATAGTCTAGGGAAAAAAAAGGTTTGATGTTTAACTTTAATCCAATAAATCTACATGTAAAGAAATAGTGTTACCAAAAAAAAAAAAAAGGCAAAAAAGCAACTTGAATGAGTTTGATTTTGTAAGGAGAGTCTATAATCCAACAGGACAGAGTTGCTGCTCACATAGTTTGTGTCTCACCTTATTCCTAGTTGGACCAAAACACGGCTTGAGTTTTGTCCCTCCGCGTGCAGTTCCCCCAGCCCTGGCACAGCAGGACACACGGCAGGTACTTACAGCTGTGGGATGGGGCACAGACCTTGCAGAAGCAGCCACAGCTCTTCCCCGGGATTACTGGGACTTCTGGATCACGCTGCAGGATTTTGCTTTCTGGGATGGATGTGGAGAAGGGGCCGTCATGCAATGTCTCTGGAGGACTCCGTCATGTCCTTGGCAGAGCCCCCCAGGGCACTGTGTGCTGGAATTTTCCATGAAAGAATTTAAACCAGAAAAGCAAAGCTGCCATGGGAATCTGATGACATGTTTCTTCAAAACAAGGTTTTAATATTTGCAGGGGGGTGGGAGAGGCTGGGGGTTTTTTTGCTTTTTTAAAGAGGGCAGCACTGCAATGGAGTTTGGCAAAGGGAACAGGAAAAGATCTGCTGAAAACCTTTCTAACAGTTATGTGTCTCTTATTCTAGTTTTTAAATAATGCTAAAACTAATCGAGTATCCCTGCGTTTTCAGGTGCACCGTTCCCTCTTCTACAGGATCAGAGACCTCACTGCAATTCAGACATCCAGGGAATTAAAATCTATTTTCCCAGCAAGCAGGCAACCAGAGCACATTAGACAGGGAGGTCTATGGCTTAGGAGAGATTTCAGGAATCTCCAGACTTTTGTTAACTCTACAACCTGGCTCCTCTTGTCTCCCTCTGTCTCCCTGTTTGCAAGAGCAGTTTGAAGAAATTGCACTGACACAGAAACCACGTCTTTTGAATATTTATTCTTCACATATGACAGTTAGACGAGATCATAGCTTTAATGCCAAAAAGTCCACAGAATTCCTTTCAGCACAAGCTGAAATTGGTCTACTGTATGCCAAGCTGTGCCTGATTTTTAATTAAACCATTGTAGGAAACACCATCCAACACATAGAAAACATAATAAAAAATAAAAAGTTGTATCCTTAGACACGAGTCCTTTCCCTATGCAACGACTTGCAGTAGAAATTGAATTAACTACTTAGCTCTGCAGTGAGATTAATACAAAGAACAGCAATCTAGACAACTGTTGTAGCTGTCTCCCAAGCGGTGCACGTCCGACTCCGCTGTCAGCCCAGGACGCTCTTGGCCGGCTCTTCTTTGGGCTTCTCAAAGACTGTTTCACCCCCGGTCCGATCTCGGCTGAATATGGAAGGTGCTGCTGAGCCCATTTGCTCTTGAAAAAGAAAACCAGGAGAAGCGACAGTCAATTTTGAGGCACACAGAACTATGGCAGTTAACAGCAGGCAGCACCGTGGAGTGGCCCCTCAAGGCAGGGTCGTCCCTGCAGGTGCTTCAGAAAGCTGGAAACTAGTTTGATGTTGGGAATCCAGTGGTTAAGGTTCTCCAGTTTTGCTTGTCCCTCCCCTCTGGTGACGGAAGCAGAGCCCCACAGAGAGGGCAGTCAGTCTGTAAGGCTGCTCTCACCTTCTGCCCTTTATTGCCCCCAAGGGGTTTCACCTCAGACATGCAGAACTCACCCACCAGAGTGGCCAGAGGCCAGAAACCCCCTATCTCCCCCGACCTCCAGATCTTCAACTAGTCATTGGCACTGGCCGTACGACCAGAACTTGCTTTGAACTCTGACTCAGAAGGCAAAATCAGGGCTCAACCTCCTGCTTTGCAAAGCTGAGTCAGGAAGAAAGAGCCCTGGAGGCCAAGCCCTGTTGGCACCTATTGGTGAGAGTCAAATGGGCCGATCACGGACTTGAGAGCCTGAACAGCCACGCGAGGGAGCGTGGACATGGCTGTTGCTTCAGCTGAAGACAGAAATGAAGTTAATGATTGACTTTGGAAGATTGCTTAATTGTTTCTAGTAGGGAAAAGTGACTTACCGCACTGCTTCATGACTTGGTAGGTTTTGGATTTAATTTCCTGATTTTTGGAAAGGTTTCCCCTGGCTCCTTTGAGATCTTCTTCCTTCACTGGAGGACGCTTCTTCTTCACAGGGGTGGGCTAAGAAAGATGTATTGCCAGCACATCAGTATGTCACATTTAGAAGCACAGCAAATAAAGGTGCATTAGCCCAAAGCTACAAGACCCAGAGTTGCTAATTCATTAGCCCATCTAATTAATCTTTGGGATTACACACGCAGCACTTGGTCCTTTATACAGCTGTACAGTAGCACAACTGCAAATAGCCAAACCAGGGGAAACAAATTCAACATAGGTACTCAGTGTACAGGTACTAATGGAGTGCTAATTAAAAAAAAATAAAAGAAAAAATTTATTTTATGTTCCTAAAGATCAAACAAAAACAGCTGGAAAAAACCTTACATCTTCATGACTAAATCATTTTGTTTCTACTCTTGGGATAAGTTTGACCCAGAGTTATTTATCAGAACTAGGAAAAACTTGCAAGAAAGCACAAAAGACACTGGAGAGACAGCCATTACAGAGCTCAGCCTCTAAACTTAGAGAGCTGAGCACGCTGAGGGGTTGTTTAGATGCACATGTTGAACACACCTTTAATACCAAGCCTAACAAAGGAAAAGAAAGTCTAACACCAAAACATGTGCTATCAAGCTGGTGCATTAGATTTTCAAAGAAAAACCTGTTTACAGTTTACCCCGCTAGTAGAAAACAGGGATAACATTCAAAAACCTCAGGCTATTCCTGCCCCTAAGTCACTACTTCGAATCCACAACATCGGCCAGCGGCAACTGGCACTATTAATATCCCTCTGTGGTTTTGTGTTTCAAGGCCAGGGTGTCAAGGTCCCACCACGCAGACCTCAGAGGAGAGGGCAGAGCGAGCAGATCAACCATCAGACCCTCACTACCCTCAGAGAGGGCTCGATTAAATGTCCAAACACTCCGGTTTTCATATATTTGTGCACTGAACCACAGACAGGAAAGCTCTTTGTTCAGTGCTGCGGACACAGGGCTTCTCGTGCTTGGATTTTGGCAATGATGGATCCTACTTACACATTTGTAGGTCAGCACCTGCAAAGCTAAACACAGTTGTGTGAGTCAGGGAGTCAAACCTATAGGCTTGGCTATACGTTCAAGGGAGCTTATGCAAGCACAGCTCCTGGCAGAGGAAGGCAGCTGCGCCAGGGGGGTTCAACATGTTTCCTACTGGCTATGAACTCCCAGGAACGCTCAAAAATAGATGGATGTCAGCACCATCACCATGTGCTGTGGGAAACAAGACTTTTGCGAGATCCCGAGGGAAAAACACCCTCCAAAGAGCCAAAGAAAGCCAGGGGAGAGGGCTGCTGTAAAACCCTGCTGAATTCATAACCGTCTTGGGTCATTTGGCTCGTTCCCCAAGTGGCTCCTCTCCAGGGACATTTGCACGGCTCCGTGGGGAACGGGCACGCGAGGGAGCTCATTCCCTGCGGCTCTGACACGGCACAGAGCGTGGGAGCAGCCCTGGGGTCTGGCAGCCCACGCAGGGCAGCAACTTGTTGCCTTATCAGGAATAAGGAACCTGCTAAATCCTTTAATTTTCACAGATGGGAGACTGAAACTTCAAGGCTTTTTTTTTCCCAAATAGGACAAAGCAGCTTCTAGGGAGGGCGGGTGGCAAAGGAGGCAGTTTAGGTGCTCAGAGGCAGAAGGGGTGAATGCACCCAGCCGTTTTAGGGTAAAACCTCTCCTTAGGCTGCAGAGAATTTTCCAGTCAACTGGTTAGCCCCAAAAAGCCAAATCACCGCCCAGGGCAGCGTGTCAGGAGCCTCGGAGGGCGATGGCAAAGCCTGGTGGTTGGTTTAGGGGAGCTGTAAGGGAGCCTGCTCCGCTCCTCTCACCCGGAGCAAAGGGAATCAGCAGGAGCGGCTCCCGAAGATCCCTCTCTCCTCCCTCCTGCCCCTGCTCTCACGCTGCTCTTCACCCACCGCGTGGACTCGCACGGGGAAGAGGGCTGTGTCGGGCAGCTGGAACTTGTGTTCACGTAGACAGCGCCCGAAAAATGCACAGAAACAGAGCTAATTTTAGGATCACCTTGAAAATGAGAGAGCGTGGTAAAGCCAAACTCTTAGTCACAAATTGAACATGAGGATTTCCAGTACAAAATTTCAGTCTTTGGTATTTCATCTTGACAGCTGTAATTTCCGGTCCTACCCACCCCTCTTTTTTTTCCTGCATGTTATCAGGTTAAGATTCACTTTAAAGGAGAGGCAGCACATTTCAGAATACCATGTCCTTTCAAAGCTACTCTCAATTTGTGTATTCCTCAAGAACTTCAAATCACGGCCCGAGAAAGTGTGCTGGAAAAGCAGAAAACATTCCTACAGAGAAATACTATAAACTAGGACAATACGAGTTATTTTTTCCTTTCCTATAATATTTATGGCAAACCAGAATATTAAAGGCTAATCTAATCAGCCATGCAGAGGGGAGCTGTTTGCTTTCTTCATCAAATAATCACTCATCATGACCCACTTGTTAAACTCTGCAAAGTGCTTAAGCACTTCAAAATAATGAAAGAGGTCAACTAGATGAGCGGAGCAGAATTCCCTGCTTCCTGAGAATAACTTGCTAACAAGGCCCTAGTGCAAGCCACCTAAAGCAGCAGTGGATTTGCTGGGTTTCCCGGTGCCCCATACCTGTGACATAACGGCAGCGTTTCCGTAATCCTTCCCACGGGATGTTCCCCGGCTTCGTTCCACTGTCCTCTGCGCCTGTTGTTTTCCTGGGCTTATATAGAGCACCTAGAGGGGAGTCATGAGCTGGGTCACTTTCCCAAAGCAGAGCCCGGGGTGTTCCCGCTTGACGCGGGCTGTTGTTCCCGGGAGGTTTATTCTTAGGGATGACTCGGGCGCGCAGGATTTAGGCGGCGGCTGGAGCTCAGCGAGACAGCTGAGCCCGCACGGCTACACTGTGGAGACAGCGGCCGCGGAGCCCGCGGGGGCTCTATTTATAACTCCAAAAGGCAACGCTTTGTTACGGATACAAGGACAACAGCAGAGCGCCTCTTTCCCCGTCCAAGAAAGCCACGTTCCGTAAATATTAGGTGCATCCCTTGGACTGGGAACGTGGGACCGTGCCCTCTCTGACGTCGTTTGCGTTGGTACTTGGCGCTGCAGCGTTGCGTGTGGTTTGGATCATTGCTAAAACGCAACGTTTCCCCCCGCCGCTCCGCTGCTGAGCTCACTCTGATGTCAGCTCGTGCGCGCTCGGGAGGATAAAATCACTTTCTACTTGCAGCTGTGTGAGAAAACTTCATCATTGCCCCCACTCGGGCACAGGAACGGCTTACGTCGGTGCCCCCAGCATAGGCACTGACGGCACTAAAGCCTTCTCCAAAACGCAAGATTTGCCCCCTGTGTATTTTCTTTATTAAGGAAAAGAAACCCTAAGCCTGACTGTTAATTGTGATTAAAGGGAGACTTTTTGGGGGTGGGGGGGAGGGCTTCCCCTCACCCGCTTTTATCCATTTTTTTTTACTATCTTGTAAATTCTTTACATCATTAAAAAAATCAACTTCTGTGACTACAGTAAACACCTAATATAAACTCAAACTCCCATAATTTTTTTTTGCTTTTTAAATATAGGAAAGGTAGACTGGCCATACCTCCAGATGCCTTTTAACAGGAACGCTGACTGCTGCAGTGCTAGAAAATGTTCCCCAGGCTTTTCTTGAGCTCTGCATTTTGGTTAATCTACAGAGAGAAGCACAGGAGGCAAAGTTTAATCAATATTTTTCCTTCTAAAAACACAACCACAGTAGTGCAGCATTAGACCCCTGTGACTGAAACACTGTGATTTTCGGGTTGGCCATCCCCAGGTCCCTAAGTGCCCCTTTTAGCTTTCCAGCTGACCTCTCCCCAGGCCTAAAAACATGCTTTCCTCTATATTACCATTCAAAGTAAAAACATTATAAGTATTTTTGCAAAGTTTAGAAGCAGTTTGGATATCATGCACTTAGCCAGCCCTCTTTGTGTTGAGTTTCTATTTTAAAACAGTGGTTTCGAAAACCAGAGGAAAAGTTTCTGGTGAAAGGCAGAACCTGCAGACTAACAAAACAGTAGCAAAAAAAAAAATCAGCTTTAGGGAAAACAATTTTCCTCACTATGCAAAATTAATGCCTCTCTATCCATACCGATAAGCATCACCTTTCTGACGCTACTACAGTAGGAAGATAATAGTCTGCATGTTTAAAGTGAGCAGTTAGAACTGCTTTGCTCCCTTGAGCTTTTAAAACTACTTGATTGCACTGGTGCTGCACCATCCTCATCTAAAATACAATAAAAGTCATGCTTTTGTGGCAATATAATTTATACAGACAAAATGCCCATACCTTACATGCCATTGGGGGTGGGAGATGAGGCATCCACACAGGTAGGCAACTTAGCTTGAAGCTCTCCTAGGCATCATCCGCAGTCCAGGCAATTTTGCTCTCTTTCATTAAACTGCCTTTCCTACATGCTGAAGAACAAGCACAACCACAGTGGCTATTAACTTTAATGCAATTAGCCCTCCCCCGCCTTCCTCCAGGACACAGGGTGTGGAAACCCCTTTGCTGAAAATCAACTCTTAACCAAAATGTGGTGACGAATGGGGAACATTCAGTGACTTTACACACGCTGGCCACCAAGGCTGCAAAGAGAGCTGCTTACAGGAGACACATCCTCCCCAAGAAACTAACATCCCTCACTGGAATTACAGGCCTGAAAGGCGGAAGATTATCCTTGAAGGAAGCGGTGATAGAAGCAGAGGTTGGCCAAGAACAGGATTTCTGCCCTGTGCTGGCATAAAGCTCTCAAGCTCCTACCCTTAAAAAAAAAATAGTCATCTGTATATACAGCTTCACAGGGAGCCAGTCTTCTTTTCTCCTAAAAGCCTTCCCTATTCCTCCCGCATCCTGGGAGATACTCACCATACCTTCCCCCTCTGCTGGGGCTTCTAGTACCTTCTGCAAACAAATCAGGAGAACAGAAGACAATTCAGATGAACAAGTTATTCAGTTAGACTATGCCTCTGCCAAGAGGAAGGACACTTGGAGGCAAACTCAGAAATTTCCAAGCTGACCCATTCTTGTTACACCTCAGGTGCTCTCTGGCTGCACATTCAGGGTTTTATTTTCACTGGGAAAATACAGGTGCTCACCCTCCATGTGCATGCCCTGAGCATCCTCAGGAACAGGGACAAATTTGAGAGCAGCTTTGAAGGATTCTTTAGTTGCAAACAAAATTTGCTCCCCAACAGTAGCAGCCCTTTCTTTTGAACCTGGACCCGCTGTTAAGGTGTAGGAATACAGCAAAATTAACACCATCTGGGAGTGCAGAAAATTAAATCTGAGTTCTGATGCTCAACTCCGTAGCACAACCTGCTGCATGCAAGAGCACACAATGAACACTGAGGCACATTCACTTTTAAAGAGAGGGAGCAAAGAACAAGTGTACGAATCTGTAATAAGTCAAACTTTATTGTAAACCATTATACAATGTCATTACATCAGATACCCTTAGAAGTTCAGGGTAACACCACTGATTAAACAGTATGGTCCAAACGGAGGGCAGCAGCACACAGCTGTTGGTGTTGCTCACACAGGCTCTACTCTGAATTTACTTACAAACAAACCCAACGTTCAATTGGAGACGGATACCCACGCAAGACAAACACACCTACAAAAGAGTCCCTTTTTTAAAGATACTGCAGTTTTACTTTGTAAAACCATAGTAGTCATTTTCAGCAACTGAACTGGAAACTTGAAATACCTTTAAAAAAAAAAAAAAAAAAACGTTTACACACTTATGCTGCAGATCTCACTCTGACCTGATGCTGCGGATCTCACTCTGATCCGACGTGGCTGGATTTGTTCACCTTCATTACTGCTTTCCCTTGGAAAAAAAGAAAGAAAAAAGGCAGAGCGAAGCGGCACGGGCGTCAGCGGAGCCCCGTGGCAGAAGGCCCTCACAGCCGGCGCGCACCTTGCGTTGCTCGAATTGCAACTCCATCTGCGTGTTCCCTGGAGAGCAGCTATGGGACACTGCAGTTAGCAACGGCAGCAGGCAGCGTTTCGCCTGCTTACAGAAAGACAAGGGGACCTGAACCCCTTGGGAACCCCTTAAAGCTGGAATTTTAAAACCACGTATTAGACAACACCAGTGTTTTCAAATTTACACAGATGTGTCACAGGCCAGATATTAGAACAGTTAAAACACACAAGTTAACCACTCATGCTAAACTTGATCTCCACCAATATTTCTGCATCTCTTCGGCACGATACAGCCTCTTACTCTGACTTTGGGGTACACTCCATAGCTTATTTTCCTTAAAGAAACAATAGAATTACTTCTTCCTTTTTCTCCTAAGTTCAGTCTGAATTAATCCTTTGCAATGAGTTGTCCTGATGTGCATTTATCAGTCACTAACTTCAAGGGCAAATGCCAGGCTAACAGAAACATCACTGTACTGTAATATTATCAGATCAACTCTTTATGAAAAGAATTATTTCCGACTGCCCTATCAATAGCTGTCACTGAGCAGCCAGACGCCGCAGAGCACGAGGCAGAGGTTTCCCTTCCTAGCACAGAGGCTCTTCAGACCAAATCCCGCAATCCTGCACCTGCCGCAAGCGTTCCGATATTCACCTCGTATATAACTTCCATCTCACAGAGAGGCAACCTGCCCATTTTACATTTCCGTGTCTTTTTCACATAAGAACGAAAACTGAGTAGAAAAAAAAAAAACACAAGTTTTTGTTATTTGGTTAAAGCTGAAAATATTTTTTTTTATACACAGAGAAAGAATTGGTTTTTCCCCTGTACAGATACGCTCCTCTGCTATTACTGTGGTATTTAGAATACTTTTTTTTGGCTCATAGTGCTTTTACTGCCATTTTGTGAGGCATTCTAAAATCCCCAAAAAACTGATATTTAAGTACATAAGACAGGAAAAATTAGGCATTCTTACAACTTCACTATAGCCACCTTCAAGAAACTGCTCCTCAGGGCCTTCTGCTTTGTACTCGGTCACTAAGTTTGAGGTCTGCTCAAAACAAACATTTCACATGATTAAGGCCAGAATTTTATACCAACATTTCACAGACTAAACATGAGGCTAGGAACAGAAATCATGTTCATAATCTCAATAACCAGAGAAGGGAAAAGGAAGGTAAAACGAAAGCTTGTGCAGCTCAGTCTGTGCGCGCTGCTCCGTTACCTCTGGGGACGGACACGGCAGCACTGGCTGCACAGCAGCACGTGGTGCTGTATGAAACACATCAAATCCTATGCTAAAAAGAGTAAAATATAATAAAACATCGCTGCTGTTTGTGACAGGAGCAAGTCCTGACTCTTAAATCTCTTTGGAAGAGTAAGCTGCATGAGATGATTCCATTAATGAAGATGAATTCCTTGGAGCACTGCACTTGGGGAAATATGAGCCTGCCCAATGATAAAGACTTAAGACAAGATGCAAGTCACTAATCAGTGGAATACAGCAAAAGGAAAAAAGCCTAAAACAGAGGCAACTCTGCTCAGGGACATTTCCCCGTCCTCCTGCCCCTTTGCTCCCATTTCAGAATAACTCAAGCATTCCTTGTCATTAGTTTCTAGTTTCAGTCTAAAAGAAACTCTAGTATTTAAGCTTATTGCAGTTAATTCAGTGCACAGTAACAGAGGTCAGTGGCTCAAATAAACTCTTACATTGGGCTTGGTAAAATGTCCCTTTTCGTCAGGGGACACCTGAAGTCAGGGGGCATTTTGGTTGCCTTAACGGCCACACAGTGGAAAGGAATGCTGGAAAAGTGGAAAGCAGAAAGGGAGCACACAGTTCAATATTCACTAAGGCCCAAGAACCCCATTTAACTGGTCTGGATAATATACCACATTAAGACCTAGTAAATCTATAAAAAATGTAAAAAATCTTAAAAAGTTCTGAGCAGTTTTTGCGCGAAACCGTTTGGTTTAAGGCTTGGAACATTTCTGACGTCCACATGCTACAACACACTTGCAATTGACTTCTGTTGTCAGCTCTTTGACACAGTGCCCCGTCCTACACAAGGTTTAACTAATCAAGGAAAAAAGCTGCTGAAAGAGTAACCAGCCTTTAGAAATTAGGCAAAACAAAAGGATGCCACTGAAAACACGTCTGCAAGGTTTAAGATCAGCACATTTGCAGTTATTGGATGAAAGACACTGAAAGCTGCAGGAATTCTGCAGCAGACGCAGCAACAACTGTATTATACCTCCCTTTTTTGTTTTTCCTTTTGAATGCTATGGGATAAGGAGATTATAAGGAAACTAAACATGAGAAGTGCAATCTTTGAGGGGAGATAAAGCAAGCACATTAAGTCAAACAGTGCTGTTTCACCAAAGAACACGCAGGAACAGAATTATCTGCAATATCATAGCCCGACTACTCCAATGAGATCCAAATCTAGTATGGAAGGCTCTAAATAAGGGAAAGCAGAAGAAATTTTCCATGTCTTTTGGATATTGGAGAGGTACTCACGAGAGACTCACAGGTTCTTAAGAAACATAAATAACTGAAGTCATCCCTAGATATTTGTTCCACACATAAGCAACCTATCACAGCAGATGCTTTGTTATATGCCAAAGTGCACGTTTGTCAAATATGCAAATAACACCTCCTATTAGAAAAGATATTTCTAAATTATGTGTTCAAAAGCACACTTAGGACTGCATTTTCAGTGATTTTTTGGTCATTTTTAGTGACCATTTTTTTGGTGACTTGAGCTCTTCCCTTTGCAATCTCTTTATCTTAAACCAGGAGACAAGGACAGATAGGATTCTCGTGACAAATCTTTTGACCATTTCTGCAGGAAAAAAAAAAAAAAAGAGAGAACTGCAACATTTTCTCTAACAAAGAGCATCTTTAAATACAACTGTATGAAAATATAACTTAAATATAAAATAGTCAAATAGGTTTGAGGAGACCTGGAAAAAAATCTTTGTTCCACCTACTAGTTCCATAGGTACCTTGTAGCAAGTAAACATTTTGTACTTAAAAAAATAACATTAAGTTACAGCTTGTAACCATAAACTATTCTGCTCTAGGAATTATGCTGCAAAAGCCAGTTTTAGTAGCAAAACATACTCCGTTAACTTAGTTGATTCCGATGCCTTTTTTGAGAACATCTTAAACTGCATCATTCAGAAACCATAAATGAAAGATCCCTGTATCTGTTCTCTATGATCTTCTCCGAAATGGCAGATACAAATCACTTGAGTGACTAGTCCTCAACAACACTGTGCTTTCACCATGATGAAAAGACATTCTTGCATAATTGGTCAGTGTGTCTGTAGTGCAACTGAACTGGAAGTCTTCCAACTGCTTGCATTCTGCTGGCAGACCTTGTTTATGAGTCAGTCTGTATGAAAAGGGAGATGCAATTGCAGCCTTGAAACCCACTGACTGAGAAGTTTTTACCATGATGCCTGCAAATACACAGGTCAGGGAATGTGTCATACAGGCAGACCAAAACGATGCTTCTTTTTCTTAATGGGCTTTAGGTTGGTCAGTCTGCGCAGGTCCTCTTCAGCGTCAGATTCCTCCATCTCATCGTCTGCCGAAATGAGGATCTGAGAAAAAGAAATTACAGCTTCTGAGTAACGTGAAGCGAAGTCGCTTTCTTCCCTCCTTCTACTTTTAACCTTTTTCTTTGTTACACTTGCAAAACACCTTATTATTTGCCCAAGACTACTGAACCTCATTCAGATTTGTTATCAGTACTACCTGAAAGTAAATTTCAAATGAAAACGAGAGGCATTAATCTCTACTGGAATCATGGACTCTAAATGCACAGAAGCGATGCCTGCACGCCCGAGTGATACAGGTGGTTTGCTGCAAAAACAAGTGAGAGAGACCACACCACATCTCTAGCAACATTTGCAACATAACAGCTGATTTATAAGCAAAAAACATAGCCCTGCTTGCAATTCAGAAACACAGCACCAGCCAACTGTGACTAGAAACTTATTTTCAAGAATTCTGCCCATCCTTCAGGCAAACTGAAAAATAATCAATGCAATTCAGAATAAAGTTATACTCAAGGCAATGACATAAGCATTTTTTCTCCTTTTTTGCATCTTTTACTTTTGGATACAGCTGAAAATCATTTTATAATACTCTGAAAAAAGAAAAGGAACTGTATGGCAATTAGCTGCATATACAGCAGAGGCTCTTACCTGTCTTTTTCTGACAGGTATAGGAAATATTTAGTTAAGTAGTGCCATCCTACACAAGCACTCCTGACCCACTGAAATTCCACTATTCTGTTTGTGACATTTTGAAAATGAAGTGAAAGAACAAATACTCTAATTAAATCAATTCAAATTCAGATACAAGATTATGTGCAATGCTAAAAAAGGAAGCTGATGTTTATTTGCATAACACTGAAAACTAATTAGTTGAGCAGATTTGAAGATCAGTGTAATACCCTTAGCATCCTGCAATATCTGCATGATGATCAGATGCTTAAAAGGTTAATTTATTCTGTAATAAAACACATTTTGAGCAAACCCCATATTTGGTTGTGCATATCCTAACACACTAACCATATTACAACTTTAACCCATCCCTATCCAAACGCCCTGCTACCTCAAGAGCTAACAAATCCAAGGAGACAGCAACAGGACTGCAGAGCTGCTCTCTTCATATCCTCCAACTTGTCCCCAGTGACCATGCCACCGCAGCCACGCTAGCCCTGACAAATACTCCTCCACAAACTCAGACAGTTATTTTGCCCCCCTTCCTTCCAACTTCAAAGGTAGGCTAGTAGGTTAATTAGATTGGACTGATTAATTTTGTATTCTATGCAGGTGTTTTTAGAAGCATTTTTAACGGTTCATTTGTGATATTTAGATATGTTCTTGTGTCCTCCTACCTGTCTGGAAGGACAATAACTACCAGTGAGCGTTGAGACACTGCCGTTTTCTTAATCTGCATTCAACTACAAATATTAGGAACCACAGTCAGAGGTGGATACCAAGAAAATCAAAACAAAATTGACAGTATTACAAGGAAACTGGTGACACGAGGGAGCAACTGGACTACAGGTTAACTGCACTGGCTAAGTCTACGTACTTCTGACTCTGATTCCTCATGTGATGCTGCTCTTCTGTATCGGACTTTGCTTCCATTTCTTGAATCTTGTCCTGCTTCCTTTTCTTCAAGTTTAGCTTTTGTCTTCCCTTTCTTCATAAGAAAGTTATCTACTACCCAGAACATCAATGCCTGGTAAAGAGAAGTGGGAAGGGACAGTTTAGTTTTCTTCAGGTTAGTCTATGTTCATTTGGTCAACATTTGGACAGAATTAGGGACATGTAACAATCAAAGCGAGTTGGCCAAACTGACAAAATCCTGTACAAGCACAGGGACACATAGGTTTTTTTACACTGCACAAATGCTCTAGCATATGGCTAATTTATCCCTTGGTAGAAAAGGAAACAGACAGCAAAATAGCTGCTATTCAGTGATGACATTAACTGCTTATATAGAAATGTGAACAGTCTCAGGCAGACATCTTAGTGCAATGAAGTTTTCCTTCTCCAAGGGTAAAATCCATCATTGAACAAATTAATGAAAGAAGAAAAAAAACAATCAGGAGGGGTTATTAACTGCAAAGACTGCATCTCTGGCTGCAGTCCCTAAACTCCAGATTGCTGAAAGGGAATATTTAGGGATATTCCTTTTATTCTCCTCCTTCCTATGCCAACCACTATTAGCTACAGAGACACACAGGATACCTAGTTGTACAGTTATTATTAGATCGAGTACTTCCTAATTCAAATTTCACCATAATTTTAGAATCTCTTTGACAGTAATGCAATATTGCATCCAATCTCCTGAAGTCATAAGCCCAAGGAGGTCTATGAGGCATTGCTGCACTTCTGCGACCAGTTACTGGGCTCCACTTGGATTTTGGCCATATCGAATCTACATACCTGCACATTTTATCCACTTTTTAATACCCTTTTTAAAATTAAGGCAACTGAAACACCACGGCACGTTGTACTTTAATCAATGTTAATAATTTAACAGATGGGAGAGGGAAATACATGTAACTGTCTCAGAGAAGCATGCAGTTGTACTAACATTAACAAAGAAGGGAACTATCAGCATGACGATAGCCAGCTCCAACTGGGGATTCTCTATAGGATTCAATAAAGCTACCTGTGAAAAGAAAAGGATCAAATTCAGATCACAGCAGCATGTGCACACAACTGGATTAGTCAGTGCAGTTCTTCATGCACTAGTTAATTCTACAGAAACAGAGTACATGAACCAAAAAGGGCAGCTTTGTAGAAAAGGAAAGTATTTAGGACAGCTAATAAATTGCAGCAGTAGTAAGTGGGGCTGACATCTTAGTCACTTCTGTTTACAGAAGCCTGAAGAACTTTTTAAGAACTATCTCCTACATTTCAGAGCTCCCAAAGAACATTTATAAGTTGTGTGTTTCGGTAATTTAAAGCCAACTGAAGCTTCAAATAAAGCTTCACAAAATACACAGTGAGAGAAGACTCCTGATTTCTGGATGAGTCTAGAACATGCATTAAGTGACTAACGGGCTTCAGTTTGCTACAGCAACAAGCATCATCGCTTTGAATATTAAAGTGCACAGATTCTATGAAAACAGCCGTGTTGCTAACCATCAGCTTCACTAATCCATTGTGAATTACTGGAATTGTACAGTTTAGATGAGGCAACAAGGTCACAAAAATGGTTCTTCAGAAAACAATACCCCCCAAAAAGAAGTTTACATTTGGGTTAAATTAAAAAAGACAGACAAACCAGTTAGCTATTTCTAGAGTGCTCAGACAAGTAGATACAGTGTAATTTTACACACCACAGTATACAGTAAAACCAAAATGTAATAGGATATCACCAGCAATGGATGCCAGAAAGCCTCTTTAGCTGTATCCTAATCAAGGCACAAGAACATACCACTATGAGAGAGCTAAATGGCATCAACTATAGGAAGTTGTGACACTGGGAGATAAGCCAAACTAAAAAAGGGTATTGAATAATCTACTGCTTTGTGACTTCTTCCACCAGAAATCCAAATGCTGTGCAAACACCAACCTCTTTCCACTGAGGTATTAGAAGCACTATAATGATGACAGTTTTCTCAAACATCATGATAATTATGTACAGACCACACTGGCCCATCCATGCACTGCACTTCAGCGGGTCACCTGCAAAAAAGACAAAAGGCTCCACAGGTACATGTCATTATTTTACTTCAATAAATATTTTAGAGAAGATTAGAATAGACCAAGCTGAATAATCCTTTTAAAGCGTCTTCGCCAGCCTCCTTGGTGCTCTTGCTCCTCCCCATCCCTCTAACTTTGTAATAAAAGCTGAAGGTAACAGGATTTTAGCCGATTCTGCAGGAGCTGGTTACGTAGGCACTCTTCTATGCCAAACAATCCCATTTGTTTCTCACTAAATTTTAATTTTCTCCCTCTATCCTAAAGCATTAGGTTTCCTAAGTGGAAAAGAAAAAAGTATTAAAAATTACCAGGTGTGAAGCAAAAGATTTAAGTGTGATATTTCTGCCAATCTTGATAGTCTACCTTCAAGAAAATATTTTGCTACAGAAAGCTAGTAATCGAAGGTAACCAATCATAATTGGGGCAATGGGTGTGCATGAGTTGATATAAAAAAGCTACCTGCCAAAAGAAAAATTAATTGAACAAAAAATTAAGAATTGATTCTAATTCAGCTCTGAAAGGCTTTGAAATTCTGCTCAATCTTATTGGGATGCAGCACAGTGAAAGAAAAAATGAAGTTATCTCTGCCAGTTCAGAATAAAAACCATCTGGCATAAATATTTGAACAGAAAAACTATGCAGGCTGTGAGACACTAAATAAAGGAAGAAAGAAAGAAAAAATAAATAAAATAAGGGACAGTGCATTGTATCATCCAGGTTTCACAGTTCAAATATATTTGCAATACTTCATCGGAAAACAGAAGATTTGGAAGATTGCTCCCCAAAGTTTCCTGCAACATCTTCAAACAGAGCTGAACAATTTTGAGCCCGGGGAAGAATAATGTGTAATGGAAAATCAGATGCCATTATATATTTGTAATGCCTAATGGCCGCTTCCTTTTCTAGAACATTTTTGAAAGGCTTTCAGTATTAATAATTATCTTGAGATTTATTTCTTGCTGCTCAAATGCTACAAAGAGCAAAGAGAAACTGATGAATCAGACTGGAGCCCAAAACAATTTTCCTACAGAAATTTATATTGTGATGATCACTGCTAAGCAGTAAATAGAAAATGGCTAAAATGCTCAAGTTTTTCATTATTTCCTTCAGTCTAAGGCTTATGGTGCTTAAAAAAGGACACACAGAGAGAGAAATTTGAGGAGAAAACATCAGCAGTGACTTGAAGCAATTGTGATTCTTTGGGGGATACAAATCCTGAGCCATACTGGAGAACGAAATTTTAACGAATTATTATATGCCACATTCTTTATCAGCATTCTCCATTTTTCTTCACTAAGAAAGGAATATGGAAAAAAAATCTAACTTTAGGAACAGACTTACTGTTGAAGTCTTAGCCATTTATTCTGAGCTCTCTTCCAATCTGCTTTCAACTGCAGCATGAGGTTGGCCATGTGGCATGTCCAAAAATTGTAAAATCCCTTATTACAAATTCGGTTGAGCACTGTCACCCATGAGCACTCTTCTCCATGATGGATGTCATTTTATGTATTTAGGAAGTCCAGAAGTTGCATATATTAAATTCTATCTATCTGACTTTTGTGTGTGTGCTGCTGTATTTTTAAAATTAGCTTTTGACTCTAATTGTAAGAGAGGAGAAGAGGGAAAACCAGTGGATGTGGTTTACCTTGACCTTAGCAAGTCTTTGGACAGAGTCTTCCACAGCATCTTTGCGGACAAACTGGGAAGACAGGGACTGGATGGGTGGAATTATAACGTAGGCAAAAAGTTTCACTTGACTGTCAGGCTCAAAGACTTTGAAAACTAACTGGTAGTTGGTTATTAGTTGCACACTGCAACACAGATACTGGGATAAAGAGTATATTACCCCTCCATGGTAAGAAATACACCCTAAGAGAAGTCAGGGATGAGACCAAGCTGGCAGGAATGGTTTTCTCCCTGAAGGATAGTGCTGCAGAGGGTGGTCCTGGGCACACTGGAGAAATGAGCCAGCACGAATCCCATGCAATGCAACAGCAGCAAATACAAAGTCCTGAGGCTGCTACAGAATGGGCCAGACCATGAGCTACACAAGGAGAAGTTGAGGACCTGGGATTGCTCCATCTGGAGGGGATGAAGGGAGAAGGTAACTGCAGCCTTGTGCTGTGCAAAAGGGGGGTTATAAAGAAAATGTGAGCCCCACTCCCAAAGATGCACAGGGAAAGCCAAGAGGCAACGGTCACAAGCCACAGCAAGAGAAATTCTGCTCAACACAGGGAAGAAAAATTCACAGTAAGAGTGGTTAAGCACTGCAGCAGCTTGCCCAAGGGTTTGGTAAATCTCCATCCATGAGTAACTTCAAAACTGCACTGGACTATGCCCTGAACAACCTGATCTAGCTTTGAAGTTAACCCTGTTTTGAGGAGGAGATTGGATTAGGCAACCTCCAGGGATGCTTTCCTACATAATTTATTCTATTCTACAAACTATGCAACTGAAGAGGAAAAAGCAGAAGTTAAATAGCATCACCACATCCAATAGGTTTATCCCAAGAATTTTTGGGACAGTTGCACATTCAAAGATTCAGTACACAAACTGAACTCAAAACCTGATGTTGAAGTAATAAACATTAATTTTGTTTCCAAAGATTTGTGGCCAGTCTATCTTGATTTCTGGTTTTATATCTGTCACATAGAACTTACACGTGTAGAATAAACTAGCAAATGACTACCAGTGTTGTTGCAGCAAGAAAAGCATATTAAAACAGAAAATTTTGAGTCCTTGGGAATCAACAGGTGACAACAGCAGTGGCATTTTTTGAAAATGCTGAGCAATGAAGGAACTAGAATGTACTAAGCAGAGTTGAGTCAGCCACTCAGCTGAACAAAACGCTCCAGTCCTCTATGTGGTAACTTGTTTCTTCTCATGCCCAGAAGAATTTCCTTTAAAAAGCCCACAGAACTCCTCCAAAATACCTCAAAACAGGTTTGTGGTAAGTGTCTATTCTACAAGACTGTAAGTAAATTAATGAAGTTATTTTGCAAGGCACACAAAGAGCTAGAGCAAGAAGAAATACTTTTCCTAAACTTTCCCAGATGAGAAGCAAGGGCAAGCAAAGAGAGCACAGAAGGGTATAGTTGCCAATATGGGTCATTTTGACAAAGAGGGATTTAAACACCTGTTTCCTACTTGCAACAGCTAAAGTAATCTAATATAGACGGGACGGAGAATGTTTTGTACACGGTATCAGGGAACATTCTTCTCAGTACAAATCACAACTGTTTTTATCTTTCTTATGTGCTCAAGTCTATGAAGTGATTCCATGCGTCTATAAAAATCCAGCTCCTGGCACGCCGAGTGTGGCAACAGGATGAGAAGCCTCGAAAATGTGGCAATTGTGCCACCAAAAGCCCTCGTGGCAGCGTCAGGCTGCTCGGCCCATAAATCAGCATGCAGGGTCGCTCTGCTCTGCAGACAGCAACTATTTCTGAATGTTTGGGTTTTGGAAGCCATTCTCTCCTTGAGGTATTTCCACTTGAAAACTACCCTCTGTATCAAGAGGACCTTTTAAACCCAGCAGGACCACTGCTATTTTGGTGACAGCTTCTCAAGCAGTGAATGACCAGGGATCAAGTAATAGAGCTAAGAAGGGAAATGAGCTCACCGTGAGAACTGCGACAAATCATTATCTGGGCACTACCAATACAAACAGCAGAGCTCGGGCAAAAAAGGAGGCTTATTTGGGGACTCCTGGTTGTTTTTCCTCATTTGTTAACAGGTGAAAACGCAAGGACTTCCTTCCTATTTCAAACAAAACACCCAAATCTTCTAAAATAGCTCTACGTTTGCTCTACACACCCCGGTTTACCTTCGAGTACTAAATCTAAACGTATTCTTCCTCATTCCTTTTTAAATTGCACTTGACAGAATGTGTACTTAAAAGAGGGTGCTGAATGTTGCAAGGCACCTTATAGACACTTCCTTATTTCTTATATAAGGTCTAACTTACCACACAGCAGTCTAATCACTTTCTACCTGTTCTCTAATTCTCTTTACATAAGGAGCTTTCCCCACATAATTAATGAAAACACAGATGTGCAACACACTCTGCAATAACTATGTTCAGAGACAGCACGTGAAATGAAGACACAAAAATGGAAGTCAGTCACTGAGAAAACATCCTGATATTGGCAAGGGGAATTACATTATTTCCTGCATCATTTATACGCATGCACAAGGAGAAGAAATACTTGATGAACAAGTTTTAAGCACTTTCAATCTCCTAACTCAAAATGACAAGACAGGATCCCACCCTGCCTCCCCTGCAGAACACAACTAACGTGTTCACCTGCAGAACTTAGCTAATTCAACCACAGATGCCTTATGATTTATTAAAATATGAACAGGCTCACTATAGAAAAAACAGAGTAGGCCATTAAAAAAGAATCATACGGTTATGTAACAGATGCACAAAGAAATTTCCTCCAAATTCAAAACCAAATTTACATGGTCTAGGAGGTGCTCAAATGGACTGAAAGGACTCCAAGCCAAATTGACAATCAGAAAAGGGGACTTCAAGGGTAGTTTAGTAGCATCCCAAATAGGACCCCAATCTTTTGGGGAGTCAAGTCTGGGAACAGGCCTAAAAAGACTGCTCTTTACTACTGTCTATATGGTAAATTTTCTATTGGCTTTGCTTTACAAATCAATCCTCTAAAGGGTCAGAGGAGTACAAGTCCAAGGAAAAGAGCAGAAGCATTTGGAGATTGGTAGTTGGGAACAAAGCAGATAAACAGGCAGTGCTGACAAAGTAGCTTAAATGGTGAGAGAACTGCACCCAAAGGGCTACATAACTAGTCTACATAAATGAAAATAAAGTTACCACTGCACTAATGGTATTATAGTTATTTCTATAGTTACATTAATAATAGTTATTTCTCCTAAGAGCATACATCTGAAACTGCTTTTTTAGGGCACCTGCAAACCTACAGTTATTAAGTATATAGATTACATGGCAAACTACAGAACTTAAAGAGACTCTTGTGAGATATGTAATGATTTTAGGATAGTCCGATAAGTGAAATATTCTGAAATTCTGTCTCAGAAACATCTCAGCACAAGTAGAGAAACATTTACCATATTCACCAAAGCGAAGGGACTCCCACTGTTGCCACTCCACGATGCTGCTGACTGCCCGAATCCCAGCGTAGATTAACAGCATCCCTAGCGTGGCATCTAACAAGAAGTTTATAAGGTACCTGAAAGAAAACAAACAGGTAAAAGAAATCAAGGGTGAGTTTCCTAAAAGTTCAGTTTCTTGCAACACCACAGTTGATAGTAGAAGGTATGTGCATATAAGTTGAAAAGCCAGAGTACTGTAAGACTAAAAATCGATCATTTATCCACTTAGTCTCAAAATTGCAGAGTCAGTCTAAGTTTTAAAATAGCTTTAGAAGAGCCCCTGTTTCTGGGCTTCACGTTAAGCTTCCAGTTACATTTCCACTAACTTTGGTGTGTGTGTGTGCACGCACGTGCGCGCATACTCTACATAAACTCCGATTTTCATTTTATTCCTTTAAACCGAAACCAGATTTCCCTTTTTTCCCTTATTGTTCAGTTCATTCTGTATGGAAAAAAAAAAAACTGTATTTGAATAAAACCAGAAGAGGAATAAAAGCAAGAATTATCTTAAAAGACACCTCAGATGCACACTTGCATTCCAATGGAGAAAGATACCACTGCTAAAACTATGAGCAGCTTTTCTTGCTCAGAGGAGCTCTCTGTCTCAACAACAAACAACAAGCAGCAGAATATTATAGATTACCTATAGGAGACCTATAGGTTACCATAGTTACTTACACCAAATTTCAACATAGTGAGAAGTCAGAGGAAAACTTTTTTTTTAATTGTTATTTCAATAGACAAACGCCTCCTACATTACTAATTTTATTTATTTTTTTAAATATCTAGGATCTTTCTTAAGCTTCAATATACTGGATATTAAACTGGGTTTCAAATTAACTCTTAAATTCTCTCCCTCATTAGATTATACACATGAACTTCAGAACATCTTGCAAATAGATAAGCTTTCCTGTCTATAGGAACATACCTGCAGGAATAAAAGTAACAAATTGGAGAAAGCTGGGGGCTTCCAGCAGCTGCAGAACAAGTCTGTGTGCACAAAATCATAGCCAAAAGTCGAAAGCAAATGCAGAATCCACGCTTGCAAAACCAACTCTTTGAGAAGGATTTGGGCTGACCACTAGGAGTCACTCAATAGCTCTTGTTTCAGCCAAGATTCACCCATAACACATTAGACACACATTAAAATTGCTGTTTGGTGCCTGGCAGAGGAATCCCAGCAACTACAAAGCTACACGTGGCATTTTAAGACCACAAGGGGCTGCTGCAGGTCTATAGCTGGAAAATACCAGGGAGGCTTCCAGCAGGAGCAAGGAGAAGGGCTCCCACATCAAATTGCACCTTACTGCGTCAGCGCAGCACGGCTGGTATTTCCAAAACATCAGGCTCACTATACACAACAATATTATCATTCTGCAATGCACTGCATTGATCCTGCTCACGTGGGATCTGTGCATAGGCACAGACAAGGAAACAGGCTGCTGTCCATCAAACAAACGGATTTGGCTGAGGGTTCAGTGAGAAAAACGCTGCGGTCCCTACGAAATTCCTGCTCTACAGCAGGCTGCTTGCTTTTCTATTTAAAACCCTTCAAATTACAACCCATCTGTCTCGACGAGCTTTAATGGACATTTTAATCAGCTTTCATCTCTCACATACCTGCCTGAATTCTAGCAGTATAATAATTATAGCAGCATACTAACGAATGGCAATTAGCACCACTGTTCTCGCCAAGCTTTTAAATACAACGTTGCCTAAAACCATGTTTACTGTTTTTATTATGAAAAGAATCCATGAACTACAAAACAGGAAAGAACAGAAAAATATTCATAATATACAGTTGGTTGAGCTAAATGCTTACCATTATTGAAACAAGCAAAATGTCTCAGTTTTATTCAAGACTTTTGACCTATCTGAGAAAATACACAGCTTAGCATAGCAATTTTTGTCACCTTGAAAGCAGAATAACCGTCCTTTCACCCACCTCCTTTTTTTGTGGATATCCAGTTAAACTTATGTGGAAGGTAGTATCTGAACCACCTGACAGTTAATGTAAACTGTAGTAAAACAGATGTAGAAGAGAATGCACAAAGCAAGCTTTTAAAATCCATAAAACAGACTACGGTATCTTCTGCATTTGCTACTTATAAGGCCAATATTTATATATTATTTACAGTCAAATCAATATGTTTCATGTTAAAATACTCAGCAAGATTCCAGAACCAGTAGCATTTGTAGTAGTAGGATCATCCAAAGAAAATTCACTTACTCGATCTTCCATACAGGCTGCTCCTGTAGAAAACTTTAGTAACAAAGGACTGCTTCTGGATGCTTAGCAAATGCTATTTTGAAATTTCACTACATTCATTACGCAAAGTTATTTTCTAAATATTTTAATAAAGTATTATGCTTAAGCTTTAAACACTGACAATTTGGACATGCTTTGGATAGCTCATATATAAAAATAAAACACGATTAATTTTCACTGGACAGATTTATAAATCTCTCAGGAACTTCCTAGATCAGTAAGCAGGGTATTACTGAAACTCTCATAATTATATCTTAACCTTTATAGTTAGCTCATTAAAATAAAGGCACCTTCCCCAGTAAAAACATTATCTGGTGGGAGAAAAACCGGCCTATGTTTACAGCACAGGAACACCAAGCAACTACGTAGAAATAAAACAAATAAAACACGTAGATGTAAGCAGCAATACAAACACAGAGTCCTTGAGGTATCTAACTACTTTCATTATCAAAGAACAACAACGAGCAGCTGCCACGGAAGGAACCGCACTGCTCTTAAAGGGCAAATTATTGGGCTTTTCAGAGTCATTTCACAGCTTCTATTACCAGAAAGTTGCAGGCTTTGAGTGTGAGCCCTATCAAGAACCAACTCAAAAAATTACTGTTTGCTTCAGCAGCTTCTGTAAAGAGCCTGAAGGGGTCTTAGTCATAAACTCTTCAGGTTTAATATACTACAGTGAAATGCTTATCTACTTAGTCACACTGCTCCAAGCATGAGATTGCAAAATTAAGTTCTGTATTAAATGCCTGGGTACCAAGCAAGATTTCCTGCTATTACGTGAAAATAATACTTCAGGAGCTAATGTAGATTTTTAGAAGAAAATACAAGTTTTTGCTTGATAGCCCTGACAGCTACCTGGCTTTGTAGGAAGGCTGGTTGCAGTGAACAACTTTTGGAGGTCAGCACATGCAGTTTGATATTTGCTTTCACTTGTGCCTGGTATCTCTTACCTGCCTCAGCAAACTGCCTCATATTACACTTGCCTCTGAAGTCTCTATTCATTAACTGGGGGGAGCAGCAATAGTCTAAAATATCCACACGCAGACCAGCTAAAGCATTTCCAGGCCCTGTCAAACATGAACTAAAAGATCAGATTTTTAATCCAGGACTAACTACACTTAAAACACAAGTTTTCAAAAGCGACTGAAGCACAAAAATTGTCTCTCAGAGGCTGTTTGCACTGTTGTCCAAACACACAGCAAATTCAACAGGAGAGCTTCCACAGAGACCTGTTAGCCTGGATTCAACACTCACAGTGAACAGGGGTCTTCTTCTGTAAGGTCTGACAGATACACATTTGCAAAGTGGATGAACAACATCCCTATGGCTTGCTTGGAAGTATCTAAAAACCTAGGGAGAGAGTAAAAATAGCAGATCTTCAGAAACAACAAACAAAACATAGTAGAACATGGCAAAACTTATTTTAATTAAAACTCTATCCCAATTCTTTTTCTTAAATAAGAACACAACGAGAATAACATGTTACAGTACTTAGCTGCTTTGACACTGTTCCAGTTTCAACTGAAACTCTTACTATTTTTTTTAATAGTGCTAACAATAATTGAATTGCACCAACATGAGACCTTGGTGCTGTAAATTAAAGTCTAGTGAGAATCTTGCAGCTTTATCTAAGAAATAATACTCAATAAATCTAGCTAAGTCTTTAATAACCTTCTGCAAACAACGAGTATACCATCCTTGCTAAATATTTCAGTCCTTTTACATTCATGTGTTTTTAGCACATTTATGGCACAGACAGGAGTAAAATGCCCATCACATATCTCATTTTACAATATAATAACTGGCTAATAACTGCTTAACTCATAGTATTTTACTAAAAGGTCAACACAGGTTTTTTTCACCTCAAAGTATGAAATGGCTACACCAAGTTTCAACCAAAACACAACAGTTTAGACCTCACTGCAAAAGAATTTCAACCCCAAAGGCTCTATTTTCAGGGCAGATGAATGAAACGGAGGGAAAACACTTCACTGCTTACAGGGAGAGAAAAAAAAATATATCTCTATTTTAATACTTAGGTACAGATTCAATGTTGATTCCAGATCTTTAATAACATTCTTTTACTACAATTTCTTGCACAAATCCTGAACTGGAAGACATGCTATTAAATATGCTGAATATATGAGTTCTGTCAAAAGCAATGTGCAGGCAATCGTGTGCTCTTCATGCAGATCATCCCTGGCTTTGCCTGCCATTTCCTAAGTAGTGCAGTGGTTCAAAACAGAATTTTATGCCTGAGTTTGTCTCTCCTCTCTGACAATCCAATCTTAAGCTTCATCCTCTCACACTCATCTCACAGTGCTGGAAATAGTGGTGATGGGGTGGGAGCCAGTGCCTGCCTAATTAGTGCAACATACTGCATATGTATGTATGTATATATATATACACACACACACACACAGGCAGAACAGGTTTCAATATTTATTTCATATTTATCTTTTCAATAACCTAAAGGCCAGCACTGGTTTGGAAAAGCAACACTGTATGAATTGAACATTGTATGAATTGAAACTACTGAAAAAAGGTGTATTCTTCAATAAGCAGAACAGCAATTGCACAAAATTCCAGCAGTCTCCACTATAAACAGCATGAGACTTGTAGGTATCACTACAATACGATTTTCAAAAAGTAAAAATAAATAAATAAACATGTTTTACACCTTATATTTTTACAGTTTATGTATATATCTTGTGCCATACTGTCCTTTATCTTGTACATAGTAGGATTGCTCCAGAACATACATTTTGTTTATGTTTAGCTGAGAGCTTCTTATGAACTAGCAGCTCAGAGAAGCAACCCGACTTGCTGGTTCTTGCATTCCTGACTGTTACACCAAGAGCTAGAGATTTAATCAGACTTTGAAGAGAATCTCATATATATTGAAAAGGCTTTTTATTTATTTGATACATGTGCCAAACACATTAAAAAAAAAAAAAAAAAAAAGAATCTTGGTAAGATCTTTTGTCTTTGTGAGGAAGTGCAACTTGAAGCTTCATGCTTAAAAAGTGACTTCTGTCAAGCCCAGGAAGCTGGCAGGAAAACAGAAGGGAAGGTAACAGTTTTGCATTGACTTTTTGCATTGGTCACTTTTTGCCCAGTTTCGGGTATCACTGTCATAAGCAAATGATCATTCTTTCAATTCCTAAAACATCAAGAAACCAACAGCTCAAATGACACAAATGGAAACATACCATATCCTCCAAGGACGTCTTTCATGCTTTGGTTCTCTGAAGCGTTTTACTAGAGAAGAGAAAAAGAAAAAAGAAATCAGCAACTCCTAAACGAACAAAAATATAAGAAAGCAAAAGCAAAGCATCTTGCCGAAATGTTATATTCTTATATAAATTAGATCTTCCACAAGTTTCACTATCAATCCCTAAGGGGAAGTATGGAAAGATAAAGGGTCTTCCTTCTGTCAGCCTCGAATTCTTACACATCTATTGTTTAAGCAGCAATATACCTCCCAGGACAAAATAATCCTTGACCCGATCACCATTGCATGGGCCTTAGTGTTCAGGATTGCCCATGCAGAAAATTTAATTTCAGATAGGAAAGCACATTCAAGATAACATTAGAAATGGCAGTTTCTCTTGCTCCCTAAGACCAAAACTCAAATAGGAAAATAGTCTTGCACTACAGGAGAAATCTACAACATCAGAAAGAAATCAGAACAATTAATAACAGCATAAATATATTATCTGGCAAAGTACTATGTTTTATGGATGACAAACTCATTTTTTTCCCTGCAACTTGAGTTCTGAAGAGAAAGCAAGACAAATTTTCTAAACCAGATAATCCTTCGACAGAAATGATGCTTATCAGTCTATAAAAAGCTCAAGCCAAAGACCAAATATTAAAAGTGATGCCAACTATACAACGATAAAAGATAGATCATGTTGCTATTTCCCTCTTAATACAATTTGCAATACAAATTTATCTTCTGTTACAGTTGTAAGCTATTAATTCATTGTTTGCCAAAGACTGACCAAAGAGAACTGAGTATTGACTAACATCCCTTCCTTCCAGCCTGCCCTCTTGTCCTCCAACCTCCCAGGATTTTGGCAATGCAAATAAACAATCTAGACCACAAAGGAAAAATATTTATGCTCCTATCTCAGGAGCAGTCTCTCAGAAAAAAAAAGAAACTTTAAGACTTGTTTCCACCTCTCACCTTCAACTTCAGAAGTCTGTGTAGAGGCAAAAATGCATAGGAGGAATAGCAGACTAAACACCATGTTGCCAACCTGTTTCTCTGGGCATTACAGATGAATTTGGCTTTTGAGTAGGATACTCTATGTGTGTATATATATGTATGCATGTAGATGTGTATATTTATATACACACACACGTATGTGTGTATATACACACAAGTATATATATACACATCTACATGCATACATATATATATATGTATATATGTAATGGTCACCTAGTTCACAAGCCACTAAGAAATTTGGATTTATGACTCAGTTGCAACTTTCTCATGAGACAGACAATTTTCCAATTTTCTTGCAGTCCTTGTACGATACAGTATTATTAAAATTACCCCAATATCTTAAGAAAATTAGGTCCTGGGGTGGATGTGCAGCATTTGCAAACAGCACACAGCTAACAACTTGCCGTTTTTCCGTCTGTATTCTCACTCTTCTGGCAGCAGAGCAACTGTTTCACTTATAGCTATTACAATCATTTAAAATGACACCGGAGGAAAGGCCTGCACATTTGTGCTGAAGATAAAGTTATAACAGCGAGATCTGCTACTAGTTTCTTTTTCTGTGAACAGCAAGATTTAAATACAATTACAATACACTTTTTCTGTTAGAAAAATGCATACTCAGCTAAGTTAACCAGCTTACTGTCTCAGAAAAGCCCTTCCTAGTCATGCTATCAATTACTGAAATTGGTGTCATTTTTGCAAAACATCAAGACAACAACAACAAAAAAATAAAGATCACACCGCTCACCACACAGAGTTAATGAAAGGATCTTTCCAAATGGCTGTAGAAGTTGTGGCCTGCTGAAGAGGCACCTGAACTTCTGAAACTCCTGAAGGTTGCAATGTGACATCTGAAAAAGCTGGGGCTTATTTCAGAGGCTGAAATATCCACCCACGCGTTCCTATACTAGCCCAGCCCGAGTGGCAACATTTCGTCGCCTTGCCTGATGCTACTGTGTGGAATCACACGGAATAAGGCTGCTTCCTCAGGCTGCTTTCATGCCCCTGTACATCCAGCGTTGCAGACAGGAGCTGTGGGGCACTACTCGGGCTATGCTGCCTGCCCACATCAGAGTGGTTCAGCTTCTTCCCTAGCATTGAGCGCACTGCATTTTCCATATGGCTGCATGCAGCTGGGAAGGCAAGGTAGGCAAAAAAGCAATAGGTTGGAGACAACTAGGCTGGTATATCCAGTGTCCTGTCACTTACTTGCCATTAAGAAATTATTTTGCAACTGAAAGGCCTCAAGTTCTTGCAAATAAAGATTTTTATAAAACCCTAGGAGATCAGGGAGGGAAAGCATCTCTTCCCCTAAGTGAGGTGCTGCTGCAGGCACTTCCAGCCGTCCTCGCAGTTCCCCTTGGCAGTCGGAGACCTGGCCCAGCCCCAGCGGAGCCGGCAGATGGAGCTCGATCTGCCGGCTCCGCACCACGCGCGGCGAGGTGCTGCCCCAGCATACGCTCAAACCACATTTAATATTAATTCATTGCATTCGGCACCTCATGCCGAATTGCAAGGGAAGAAGGGATGGATAAGCTAGCAGCCTGTCTACGCTGGAATTGCTCAGAAAAGGAAAAATTCAAGTTCATTAAAATCTGTTCATGCCCAGTATCTAGGAATAATCGATGCCAGAGTACTGTGAAAGGGTTTCTAAATTACTTCAGATATGAGTTTTGCACTAAGTTATTCCAAAAAGGAGGATATGGGGAGCAATAAAGGTTGTATACAAAGAACGCAGAGCAGATTAAAACCTCTCTGAACCATCACTATGGAAAGCGATCCTTCAATCTGTACCTGTAACTAAGCTTTCCCTTCTTCACTCCTAGAAAGGAAAACACTTAGAAAAGACCTGGCTAACATAAAATAATTTCAACACAGATCTAAAAACTCCAAGTTTTTTGACTGTTCTTCTTGCACCAGCACAAAACTGGTCCAACTCAAATGTCCTAGAAGCTTCCTATACCTCCACAAAAAGTAGTGTGTATCCATATGCATATATATATATATATTTGCATCCTGTAAGCAGAAAGAATATTTATCACTGACACTTTAAAATATCATATATTATTACATTTCTTAGAATCACATTCTAGCACTTTGCAATAAGAATCTTTTCCATTTCAATAAAGATGTAAGACAACTTCTCTATCTCACAAATTTGAAATTCAAAGGAATATAAGCTACAGGATATTCAACATGTCCATATTTTTTTCTGCAGACGCACACTGACCTTTTCATGACAGAAGCAGGTATTTCACCTGTATCCCCAATGATCATCAAATCTTATTCAGAAACAGGTCAAAAAAAAAAAGCATCTGATACAATTTCTCCTTTCACTTCCCTCTGTTTCTGACACCAGCGCCAAAGAAAGTCCAGAGGAAGAAAGGGTGGTGTGATCCTGTCACCGCTAACGTATCCATAAAAGTGCCAACATTCAAGATGAAGTAGTGAAGGTTTTTGCAGCACTCTGTTTTACTAACTACATAAGGAGTGAGAGCAGAACAACTCAACTGAGCATTAAAATCCAAACTAAAATTTGATTTACAATCTCCCATCGCTGTTTTCAGACACCTATATTATTTTCAAGATGCTTGTTTATCGAAGAGTCCACAAGCATCATAAATTTAATCCTGCAACTTCTAAATCTGAAAAAAAAACCTCAGAAAATCATCGAAAGTACCAATTTTCAAAATTTTAATTTTAATTCTGAAGGTTATCATAAAAACTATTGCTTGCTGCCATCCTGCTGCTATCAGCCCTTTGGCCACAACAGTGGGTCAATAGTGCCTTGCGAATGAGTACACGCACACTAATAATTCATGAAAATCTGCAGAGATAAATGATTCACACCACTACAGAACGGCGGCTATCGCTGAACTTGGTGTTTCCAGAGATCTTTATCATCACTTTGAACTCATCTCCTTTTCACACCACAGTAAATCTTTTAAGAGGCTTGCACTTGCTGTTTCACTTGATCCCTGCATTGCATTGTCGGTAGCAGCAAAAAAGGAAGGGGAAATTACAGCCTTCCCCAGGTCAAATAATGCATTTTTAATTATATTTACTAGAAGTGACATATCTAACGAGAACTGACTAAAACAACACCTTATAAAAATGTATGTATGTAGGTAGGTATGTATCTATATATATATTTAAGCAACATATCACTTAATTCCTATGCACTTAGTGTGACACATGAGGACAGCACCTCCTGTACATGTGTAGTAATAGAAAAAAAAAAAAAGGCTTTTTTTTTTTTTTTCTTCTCGAAAGAGAGGTTAAAATGCACTCCTTTGCTCACACAAAAGACCAAAAGAACAAGGGTTGCATGACGATGTACGGTATTCTCAGAAACCCCATTTTTGCTGCACCGCAGTTCTCCTTCCACAGGATGCCCTCAAAGCTGATGAGTTATTTCCCTGCTTAAGAACCCCTGCAATTCCCCCTCGCCCTTTTGCTTAACTTAGCCTGTCACCACTCTTGGACACCAAGCGTCCGCCAACAGAGAGCCGACTGCAGCAAGTGATCCCCAATCACACCCAGGCACACAGAGCTATCCGAGACAGATACCAGAGGCTGTGGTTTTGGCATTTTGAAGGGAGCAGCTATGAAATGCTCGTTTCAAAGGAAAATTTCATTCTAGCCTGCACTGAAGACTGACCTACCACCAAGTGCAAAAACTCGCTTTTCAAATAAGCTGTTAAAACTTTTGTAAAACAGAGAGGAGTGTGACACACACAACTGCGCAGTCCCTGTGAGCATTCCATCAAGTCCTTGGCCTCAGTAGAGAGCGACAGGTACGTAATTTCCATAAAAAAGCCCATTAAACATGGTGATCCAGGAGAAACTTTACAGAAGCAATGGACACAATAAAGTTTAATGACCCAGATGGTTATTCGAGGACATCATGAGACTAATGATTCAATGTCTGGAAAGCCACGTGGTGCCTGCAGAATTGCAGAACGTACCTGTGGCTCTTAGTTGCAAAGACAGAGGCTAAGGCAGCACTTGGGCTGCAGCTTTT